CTTTGGCAGGGGCGCGGCGGGGGGACGAGCTCGGGTCTCAGGGTTGTGGGGAGAAGCCCCTGAACCCACCCTCACGGTTTAAGGAGGAACTCCTCGTTGAGGGTTTAGGGGCTAGGGGCTGGGGTTTAGGGGTTAGGGTTTAGGGTCCAGGGTTCAGGGTTCCGGGTTCAGGGTTTAGGGTTTAGGGCTGTTCGGGGCTTTGTCGGGTTCCCAAAATGCCCTCCCAACAAAAAACCAGCGTGCAAACTTCCTCATTCAGTGATGTGCTCGATCTCGAAGCCGATCCCGAGCTCCTCGCAAAGGGGGGAGGCGCAGAGCGCCCCTCGGGTTTTCGGGTTTTCGGGTTTAGGGTTTTAGGGTTTAGGGTTCTCGGGTTTAGGGTTTATGGTTTAGGGTTTAGGGTTTAGGGTTTAGGGTTCTCGGGTTTAGGGTTTAGGGGTTAGGGTTTAGGGTTTAGGGTTTAGGGCTCCAAGTATGGGGACCCTTAAATTTGGGTCCCCTTGTTGCAAAGCCCTTCAATTACACCATAACCAGACTAAGGGCCCATGGTTCCAACCTTAGACACATGGTCCAAAGACTGCCAGAACTAGGGAAGATGAGGGTTTTTTCGAGCTTGGGCTTCGGCTGCGGTTCCTAGCCCTAAACCCTAAACCCTAAACCCTAAACCCTAAACCCTAAACCCTAAACCCTAAACCCTAAACCCTAAACCCCTAACCAGGGGCCTAAAGACCATAGCTGCAGTCTGCCTGGAGCAGTTGCAGAAGCTCCGGCGTTTTGCCCCGCTCCTGCTCTGTTGCGGGGGAGGGTTCGGGTTCAGGGTTGAGGGTTCAGGGATTAGGGGGTTTAGGGTTTCGGATTTCGGGTTTAAGGAGGAAGGGCGGCGGGGGGTGGGGGGTGGGGGTTAGGGTGTTTTGGCCTTTGTCGAGTTGATGTCTTTTCGCTGAGCATTTCATCCAGGTGTGAAGCTTTAGGGGGTAAAGTGTGGGGGGTGAACCCTAAACCCTAAACCCTAAACCCTAAGCCCTAAACCCTAAACCCTAAACCTAAACCCTAAACCCTAAACCCTAAACCCTAAACCCTAAGCCCTAAACCGTACTCTAAAGACCTTGGGGTCGAACGGTGCAACCTTTAGGATTTGGGGCTTTTAGGGCTGTTTCGTCCCCAAACCCTAAACCCCGAATCCTAAACCCTAAACCCTAAACCCTAAACCCTAAACCCCAAACCCTAAACTCCAAACCTTAAAACCCAAACCCCAAACCCTAAACCCTGAATGCCCTGAACACCCCCCCACATGGCCTGCAGAAACCTCGCCAAGTTTGTCACCGACTTCTCCGTGTCTGGATCCCCCCTGCCACGGGCCGACCAACCTTCTGCGAGTCTTAGGGTTTAGGGGGTAGGGTACTCAGGGCATTCAGGGTATTCAGGGAGTTCAGAGTGTTTAGGACGTTTAGGGTGTTTGGGGTGTGCACTTGCAGCACTCTGCCTCAGGTGCTCCAAACAGAACTCCAGCCAAAACGACGCCCAGAACAAACAGGCTGCTCTTGTGGTTTCTACTATCACATCTGCATTAGCAGCCTCACTGCTGCTATTGCTATGAATATTACCATCCTTGTCAGGGCACACAGCTCCAACTCCTCGCGGAAGAGGGCCTCCGCCTCATCCCACTGTCCAGCATCCTCAAGCCATTTCGGGCTTTCAAAGGCTTCAACTGCAGCGCGAGAACAAGCTTGCCAACTGAAAGCAAAGCCGATTGCACACTCATGGATACTAATGGAAAGCAAAGCTCAGCTGATTCAGCTCTTGGCAACCAGCTGAAGCCGGGCGTCTGGCTTTGTACCAGATTTCTTGCCAGATTTTGCCAAGGCTTCGAGCGAGGTTTTACGTTGCGGGTTTCTACCATCGTTTACTATGGGATTTGCGCTACCCACTGTGGGCCCTCCGTTACAGCTCCGTTACAGCACCTGCTACAATTCCGTTACAGCTTAGTTGCACCTCCGTTACAGCTCCGTCACAGCTTCCGCTAGAGCTCCGTTACAGCTTCCGTTACAGCTCCTGCACAGCTTCCGTTACAGTTCCGTTGCAGCTCCGTTACAGCTCCGATGCACCTCCGCTCAGCTCCGGTACAGCTCCCTTGAACCTCCGTTACAGCTCCGTTACAGCTCCGTTACAGCTCCGTTGCACCGCCGCTACAGCTCCGTTACAGCTTCCGTTACAGCTTCCATTACAGCTCCGTTACACCTCCATTACAGCTCCGTTGCGCCTCCGTTCCAGCTCCGTTACAGCTTCCGATACAGCTCCGTTACAGCTCCATTGCAGCTCCGTTGCACCTCCGTTACAGTTCATTTACAGCTTCCGTTACAGCTCAGTTGTACAGCTCCGTTACAGGTCCGTTACAGGTCCCTTATCAAGTTGCTGCTTCTGCTACGGCTCCGTTACAGCTTCCGATACAGCATCGCCACAGCCGGCAGCGCTCCGTTGCATCCTTCCGATACGGCTCCGTTACAGCTCCGCGACAAATCCGTTACGGCTCCGCTCCTTTCCGTTGCAGTTTCTGTTACAAGCCCCGTTACCGGCGAGCATTTCTGTCATAGTAGAGGCCTGCAAATGATGGTAGAGCCCCACCCCAAGTTTAGGCGGTCAATGGTTCAGGGGGTCTAGGGTTTTGTTTTAGGCCTAGGGTCCTCCAGCAGCGTGGCTAAGTTGAAGATGCTGTTCAGTGTGTCCGGGTGCGTGGCATCAAGGTGGTCTCGGCCTGGGTATGCCAGAAGAACCACAGCTTCCAGAAGACCCAGAAGCCTCAAACAAAGAACTCGCTGGAGGGCGCGGAAAGCCCGAGCTGAACCCTAAAAACCCTCAACTCTAAACGCTAGACCCGAAACGCTAAGGGTGTAGGGTTTGCGGGGTTTAGGGTTTAGGGTTTAGGGTTTAGGGTTTAGGGTTTAGGGTTTAGGGTTTAGGGTTTAGGGTTTAGGGTTGAGGGTTGAGGGTTGAGGGTTCAGGGATTTTTGGGTTGAGGGTTTAGCGTTTAGGGTTTTAGGCTTTAAAGTTTGGGGGTTAAGCTTAGAGTCGCCTTGCAGTTGTGCCGAGGCTGGAACACAGGTGCAGCGCCTCACGGTAGAGGGTCTCGGCCTCTTCCAGGTGGCCCTGAAGACTGGTCGGGATCATATGGCTGGTGGTCATCACCGGCGTATTAAGGCTTAGGGTTTGGGGCTTAGGGTTTAGGGTTTAGGGTGAAGGGTTTAGGGTTTAGGGTTTAGGGTTTAGGGTTTAGGGTTTAAGGGTTAAGGGTTAAGGGTTAAGGGTTAAGGGTTAAGGGTTAAGGGTTAAGGGTTTAGGGTTTAGGGTTTAGGGTTTAGGGTTTAGGGTTTAGGGTTTAGGGTTTAGGGTTTAGGGTTTAGGGTTTAGGGTTTAGGGTTTAGGGTTTAGAGGGTTTAGGGTTTAGGGCTTCAACTTGCAGGTTCGTTTCGCTCTGAGGCTGTCAGTTGGGAAGGGGGGGGGGGGGGTTGGGCGCTGAGGGCGTGGGGTCTACTTGCAGGTTCATGGCAGTGAAAAAAGAGCTGGGCCATAAGCAGGGTAACTATAGTCATGGCTGGGCACAACCTTCGAACCTCCCAGCTTCTCCCCTAAACCCTAAACCCTAAACCCTAAACTCTAAACCCTAAACCCTTGCTCATAACTACCCATGAACTTCCCCCCCAGGTTGGGGGTGTTCGGCTGAGGGTTCCGGACTTCCAAACACATCTGTCCATAGTTCAAGGTTCAGGGTTCAGGGTTCAGGGTTCAGGGTTCAGGGTTCAGGGTTCAGGGTTCAGGGTTTAGGGTTTAGGGTTTAGGGTTTAGGGTTTAGGGTTTGGGGTTTAGGTTTGGGGTTTGAACTCTGAATCCTGACAGTGGGCCTACTCAAGCATCTGACCAAGACTAGACCCTGAAGGAAGGAAGACTCACTTAATTCAAGGTTTCGGGTGTAGGGTTCAGGGATCCTAGTCTGATTCACAAAATCCTAGTACGATTTGCCTGATTGTAAGGGAAGCCTATTATGTTTGTAAATCCCCCATATTGAACAACTGGCGTCCAAGTTCCGTTTAGGGCTTATGGTTTAGGATCTCGTCTTCATGAAGGGTATAGGGGGTGACTGGGTAAGTCAGCCGCTGACGCGATGCCTGCTTCTGTCTCAACGAGGCGAGGTTGTTGAGGCTTGTCATCCTCGAAAGTTCAACAGATGGTCATTCCTCGAAAAATATTCCCTAACCCTGAACCCTGAACCCTAAACCCTAACCCTAAACCCTAAACCCTAAACCGCTTCCTCTTTTTTAGCCTTAACTAGAAGGGGCTTGGGCCGACTGCAGGGCTAAACTCAGACACCCCCATATGGCTGGGCTTTGGAAGCGTCAGGAGTGTCGGGCTCGGCAGATACCGGGTTTGGGGTTTAAGGGTCAGCCACACCGTGAGGTTAGGGGGGTTTAGGGTTTAGGGTATAGGGTTTAGGGTCACTACCGACCGAAGGGCCGCAATGTGGGCACCCAACAACCATACGGAACACACTCGTCGTAGAGACCCTTGCAAGATCTCAGAATATCATCGCCCCAACAAGCCCTAAAGGCTAAACCCTAAACCCCTAAACCCTAAACCCTATATAAACACTAAACTACTAGACCCTAAACCCTAAACCCTAAACCCGGAACCCAAAAAAAGGCAGCCCACATTCCCTTGCCAGCTGCGATCAAGAGTCGTGTCGGGATGCCCCTGAACCAGGTGGGCCCGACCTGGGCTGTGGCTGGGTTAACTGGCTTTAGGGTTTAGGGTTTAGGGTTCAGGGTTCAGGGTTTAGGGTTCAGGGTTTAGGGTTTAGGGCTAAGGGGTTTAGGGTTTAGGGCGACGGGGTTTAAGGTTTAGGGCTACTGGGTTTAGGGTTTCGGGGCTTCGGGTGGACAACCCAGAGAGCCTGAAGCCCTGAAGCCGCAAATCCTGAGACCAAAACGCAAACCCCTAAACTCAAAGACCCTAAAACCCTAAACCCCCAAAAACCCTGAAACCCTAAAACCCTAAACCCTAAACCCTAAACCCTAAACCCTAAACCCTAAACCTAAACCCGAAACCCTAAACCCTAAACCCTAAACCCTAAACCCTAAACCCTAAACCCTAAACCCTAAACCCCCTCGGGGCGCCCGGCGCAGGCGCAGGGCCTCGCGGCCCAACTCCTCCGCCTCCCCGAGGCGGTCCAGGTCTTCCAGCAAGGAGGCGAGGTTGCTGAGGCTCCTTGGGCTGTTTAGGGTTTAGGGTTTAGGGTTCCAAAACCTAAGCCTGAACCCGAAAAACCCTAGACCCTAAACCCCAAAACCAACCCTGAGCCCTAAACTTCTCAAGATGTGCAGAGGCGCATGAGCGTGTCTGGGTGGCCCTCCTTGAGCACGGTGGTGCCTGCGGGGGTCGGCGGGGGGCTTGAGCCCTGGTGGTGAGATGACCCGGCGCAATTGAATTTCGGGCCTGTTGTGGTTCAAGATCTTGGAGGTGTTTAGGGATTAGGGTTAATGGTTTCGAGATTCGGGTTTAGGGTTTAGGATTAGTGCTTTTGTCCCGCTGTGTGGAAGAAAGGTGCTATTTCAGCCTCTCGACACTGAAGCTAAGATTCCAAAGCTCCGCACCGCGAGAACTCATACAGCCCACCCGAACCCCCTTCCCAACGCAAAACCCTATAAACCCCAAGCCCTAAACATGTCAACCCTAACAACCCTAAAACCCCAAACCCCAAACCCTAAACTCAAGGCTTAGGCCGCCCCACCTAAAAACCCTGGGAGCATCATCTCCCTTTTTGGGTTTAGGGTTTCGAGTTAAGGGTTGAGGGCTTAGGGCTAAGGGTTGAGGGTTTGGGGTTTAGGGGTGAGGGTTTAGAGTTTAGAGTACCTCCAGCCCTCCGCGACCCCCCCCCCCTCAACCTGAAACCCCTCTTGAAAGACCCCCCTCTGGGACTCCTGATGAGGTCAGGAAAAACCCTGCATACTATTGACTTTCAGCCTATTCCTGGCTTTGCCGCCTTGGACGGCGTGGGGGTGGGAGAAAGGCTTAGATATTACAGCAAACCCGAAACCCCAAAGCCGAAACTCGGGTGAACCTATAAACCCAAACCCCAGACCCTAGACCCTAGACCCTAAACCCTAAACCCTAAACCCTAAACCCTAAACCCTAAACCCTAAACCCCAGCCCATGGGGCCCATGCGCGCTCGCAGGGCTTCCCGGTAGAGCGGCTCTGCTTCCGCCAAGCATCCCCGCACCTGAGTTGCGGTTTAGGGTTGAGGGTTTAGGGTGCAAGGTTTCGGGTTTCGGGTTTCGGGTTTCGGGTTTAGGGTTTCGGGTTTAGGGTTTTAGGATTTAGGGTTTAGGGTTTAGGGTTTAGGGTTTAGGGTTTAGGGTTTAGGGTTTAGGGTTTAGGGTTTAGGGTTGAGGGTTTCGGGCTTCGGGTGTCGCCCCAAGACGCCTGCAGCAGCGACGCCAAGTTGTGGAGGCTCGTCGCAGTGTCCGGGTGGCCATCGCGGAGTCGGGCCCGGCCTTCGTCTTTTTGTGTGGGGGTAGGGTTTAGGGTTTAGGGTTTAGGGTTTAGGGTTTTGGGTTTGGGGTTTAGGGTTTAGGGTGTAGGGTGTAGGGTGTAGGGTTTAGGGTTGAGGGTTTAGGGTTTTGGGTTTAGGGTTTTCTGTGATAGGGCGTAGATGCTGTGAAGGTTAGGCTTTGGAACAAGCTCGAAAGCTTCGTGAGGCGCGAAGTTTGGCCCCATTGTGGAAGGCCATTTTTCTCCCACCCCATGCCGTCCGAGGCGGCAAAGCCACGGACTGGCCTGAAGGCCCCGTGGTCCTTGAGCACGCTGCGGCGAGGGGTCCGGGACCCCCTGGGCTGGGGCCCTGTGGCGGTACCCCCCCTGAAAGGCGACCCCCAGGGTCATGACCTGGGGGTTTAGGGTATTTACTTTATTTATAAGGGACAAGTACTGGTCCCGAGGAGAACGTGTTCCGGTACCGGGCCCATCGCGGGCGCTACCGACCCCCATGCCGTGGGAGGCGGGCGAGCGACCTGGGTCGGCTTGCGCTATCGAGGTAGAAGGGCTTAAGCGCCGCCCCCCAACGTAGGGGGTCGGCCTAGGCCCTGAGTTTAGGGTTTAGGGTTTAGGGTTTAAGGTTTAAGGTTTAAGGTTTAAGGCCACAAAAAACAAACAGACAGGAGTCAAATCTCCTCAAGGCAAGGAACTAAACACCCCGAACTACAACCCCCGAAAGAACTAAAGCTGTAGACAAGAAAAAGAATGGGGAGAATAAAAGAAGGTACCTCAGCATCCCAACCAAACCCTAAACCCTAAACCCTAAACCCTCAACCCTAAACCCTACAAACCCTAAACCCGAAACCCTGCAACCCTACAATCCTACAACCCTACAACCCAAACCTTCAAACCCTGAAGCTTAAACCCCGGCCCGGGGCCCCGGGCGCTTCAGCAGGGCCTCGCGAAAAAGCCGCTCCGCCTCGTCCAGGCGCTCTTGCGCCTGCTGCTTAGGGAGGGGGTCAGCCTGAACGAGGGTTTAGGGTTTAGGGTTTCGGGTTTGGGGTTTAGGGTTTAGGGTTTAGGGTTTAGGGTTTAGGGTTTATAGAAGGGAAGCTCGTGGGTGCTAACAGCACCCGGGCCGCTCGCTTGCGTTAGCATGTAGTCCCACCCCAACCACCCAAACTATTCTCATTTAGGGTTTAGGGTTCACCCCCCAAACCCCCCTCAAGGGGGGCTTTCTCGCTTTTTACAAAGAAGAGCAGAGTGGGGCCTCCCGAGCTTTATGGAGCCTGTCAGTGGCTCGTAGGCTTCTGGGAGCTTTCACGGAGTAAAATGGAGGGGTGCCCAAAACCGTCAATTGCAATATTAAAAAACTACATCCGGGCACATGCTGGAACTCGGGGCTTCATGCAGCCTTAAGGGCAGCAAAACGGCAGGGGGTAGCAGGGGTCTCGGCCGGCCCCTGCTTCCAACCATGGGAGTAAGATGAAGCAGCAAAACGGTAGGGGGTAGCAGGGGCCTCGTCCAAGTGGTCGTAGCAAGACATGTCAGAAGGTCGCAGAGTGGGGGGGGGGGTCCCAGGGCAGAAAAACCCATGTCAGGTTTTGGGAATTGCCATCCCAAGGAGGGGTGCCAGGAGGGTTCCAGGGAGTGTAGGGCGCAGTCTCACAGAATCCCCCTGAACCAGAAGGGGGGGGTCCCAGGCAGGTGCCAGTCCCAGGGGGGTCCCAGGGGCGCCGGGGCGGGGGGATTCCCAAAAAAAGGTTCCGCCGGTCCCAGAAAAGGTCGTAGGGGGGCTTACCTAAACCAACCTTAAACCCAGAACCAATTTATGGCTTGCTTTTGCACAGCTTGCAGGGGGTTTGGGGGGGAGGGTTCAGGGTTTCTGAATTCCGGGTTTACTGGGTTGAGGGCTTAGGGCAGTTTAGTGTGTTCAGTTTCCAGGTTTGAGGCTTCTGGGTTTAAGGGTTAGGGTTCAGTGTTCAATGTGAGTATTTGCCAAAGATTGGGGTACCCTTTTTATACCCCAAATAGAATAGAATCCCCTTATAAAGGGACCCCCAAAAAGGGTACCCCTTTTTTCGGAAACCCCCGTGTGTCGCCTGCAGGACTGTCGCGAGGTTGTTGATGCTGTGCAGCGTGTCGGGGTGATGCTCACCAAGCTTGGCACGGCCTCAGCCGGGCGACGCACCCGAAAACAACGAACGCCCCCAAGAGGCCCCGAAAGGCCTGAAGACACCTAAAGCCTTCGAAGCACACCCAAGCAAACCCAAAAACCTTACATCCGAAAACCCTAATCCCTAAAACCCCAAAAACGCTAAACTGGAAACCCCAAAACTCTAAGCCCTAAACCACCAAACACCACAGCTCAGGTCTGTAGGATGTCGGGGGGAGAGAGGGGGGGGGAAGGGAGGGGTTTTTTTGGGGTTTGGGAGTTAAGATTCAGACCTTAGTTTCGCGTTCAGGGTTTGGAGGCTTGGGAGTTTAGCCCTAAACCCTAAACCCTAAACCCTAAACCCTAAACCCTGAACCCTAAACCCTAAACCCCAAACCCTAAACCCTAAACCCTAAACCCCCTCAACCGTTTCAATTCCAAGCCGCGCCCGGCCAGGGCCTGGCTCGCGAGGCGCTCCGCCTCCTCCAGTCGGCCCTCGGCCTGAGAAAACATCCCTTTTGGGGGGTTTAGGGTTTAGGGTTTAGGGTTTGGGGTTTGGGGTTTGGGGTTCGGGGTTCGGGGTTTGGGGTTTGGGGTTTGGGGTTTGGGATTCGGGTGCCTCATTGAAGGGGTGTGCTGATGCGAGATGCGCTCCGCTTGCGCTCCGCTTGCGCTCCGTCCTCGTCGTGACCGTCGCGGGTTTAAGGTTTCCTTGCTTTCTGATCGTGCTCGCGCGTATCATTCCTGTGGACAGCAGCGCAGGCAGTAAGCATGGTCCGAAGCCCCTCGAAGGAGGCCGCTTCTAGGCCCTGTCGGCCTTGGGTTTCGTTTAGGGTTTGGGGGTTTGGGTTTGGGTTTGGGGTTTAGGGTTTAAGCTTAGGGTTTGGGGTTTAGGGCCCCAGGTTTGGGATTTGGGGTTTGCGATTTGCGGCTTGGGATTGGGGATTCGGGTTTGGTGCTTAGGGTGTTTGGGGTTGGCGTAGGGTTTTGGGGGATTAAGGGGTTTGGGGGTTTGGCGGGCTTGGGGTTTACTGTAGTAGTCTGAGCGCACTTGGCATGTGAGCCTGTTTGGTAGTCGATACTCCTTGTTGGGGGGGAACCTGAAACCATACGGGGAGCAACTACAACAGAAGCCCCCAAAACCCAAAGTTTAAACAACCCGAAAACTTTGAGCCCCAACCCCCCCCCCCCAAAAAAAAAAAAACAAGGCCCGAAGCACCTACACCTCTCTAAACCCGTCTGTTCCAGATGCCCAGTCCCCCCTGCCTGACAAGCCCCGAAACCCTAAACCCTACAACCCTAAAACCCTACAACCCAAAAACCCTATAACCCTACAACCCTAAACCCGAAACCCTCTCAAAAACTTAGAAAACCCTATAAGCCCCTCCAACACCCCATTTCTCCAAAACCCTTTCTTTTTTTTGAAATGACTCTAAAAAAACCCGAAACAAGCAACAAAAACCTCTTAAAAAACATGGAAAAAACCCCTGAGGCCCCTTATAGCACCCTCCCCGCCTCCAGTACCGCGGCAAGGTTGCTGAGGCTCAGCAGCGAGTCGGGATGGTGCCCCCCAAGCGCCCTTTGACCTTAAACGGCAGCTTCCGAGGTGGCTTTCTAGGGCTTTTAGGGTGTAGGGTTTTAGGGTTTTAGGGTTTAAGGCCGTAGGGTTTTAGGTTTTAGGGTTTTAGGGTTTTAGGGCTTTAGGGTTTAGGGTCTAGGGTTTAGGGTTTAGGGTTTAGGGTTTAGGGTTTAGGGTTTAGGGTTTAGGGTTTAGGGTTGTAGGGTGTAGGGTTGTAGGGTGTAGGGTTTAAGGTTTGGGGTTAGGGCTAAGTTTAGGGTGGAATCTTCATTTACGTTCCTGCAGCCAAAGCCAGCGCGGCTAATGGACCGGTAGACGACAACCAAAATCTTCAACTCTTCTTGCGGCCTCGCATCAAATCCCTCCGGACACTTAACAAGCCCTCCAAGATCACAAAACAAAAAATACCACAACGAGCCTCCGTATGAGGTTTTAGGGTTCAGGGCTCTAAGGCCTATAAGCCCGAAACCCTTTCAGGCGAAGCCGCTTAGGGTTTGGGTTTTCGGGTTCGGGTTGAAGGTTCAGGGTTTCGGGTTCAGGGTTTAGGGCTGCTGCGACTGAGCCCCCGCACGCCCAGCCAGGACTTTGCGAAGGAGGTCCTCCGCCTCTTGAAGCCGCCCCTGCGCCTTTTAGGCTTCAGGTTTTAGGGTTTAGGGTTTAGGGTTTAGGGTTTAGGGTTTAGGGTTTAGGGTTTAGGGTTTAGGGTTTAGTGTTTAGGGTTTAGGGTTTAGGGGATTCAGCGCCTGCCCAACTGAGCCCAGGACCTAAGGAGTTATTCCTTGACCTGTATGGGGTTTAGGGTTTTAAGGTTTCAGGGTTTTGGGGTTTTGGGGTTTTAGGGTTCAGGGTTTAGGCGGTTTAGGGTTTTGGGGATTCAGGGGTTGAGTGAGTTCGGGTCTGTTCCGATATCGCCTGGAGACAGATCACATGAGGACGTGGCAGCTCTCGTAAACTCAGGCTCTTTCTGGGATTTTCCACGGCTCAAACCAAGGGATGAGTTGCCCCGGCAGGGAAACCCTAAAACCTAAACCCCGAATCCGACGCCACAACTAAGCCCAAAAGCCTAAACCCTAAAACACTGCGGCTAGCCCCCCCCACCCCCCCCCCCGCCCACATGCTGCGAGGAGCTTGGGCTTTGGGCTGTCATGAGACAAGGGGGTTGCTTGTTTCGGGTTTAGGGTTTTAGGGCTTAGGGTGTAGAACTTCGAGGCTTAGGGTTTCAACTACGGCTGAACAGGCAGTTCAAACTCCCTCAACATGAGCGAAATCTACGACCCTAAACCCTAAACCCTAAACCCTAAACCCTAAACCCTAAAACCCTAAACCCTAAACCCGAAACCCTAAACCCTAAACCCCCCCCCCCGCCCCGCCTCCAGGATGCTAGCCAGGTTCTGACAGCTGGTCAGGGCCTGGGGGTGGCCTCTGCCTTGTGAGGCCGAGCCTTGGGAAGCCATGGTTTAAGGTGTTGGGGGGATAGGGTTTAGGGTTTAGGGTTTAGGGCTTAGGGTTTAGGGCTACAATGGTCTGGGGCTTGGGGCTTGGGGTTTAGGGTTTTAGGGGTTTCAGGGTTTAGGGTTTAGGGTTTGGAGCTACAAGGGTTTATGGTTTGGGGTTTTGGCGTTTGTTTTGGTTTTAGGTTAAGGATTTGGGGGGTTTGGGGTTGTAGGGTTTTTGGGGGTTTTTATTTAGGGTTTATGGGTTGGGGCTTTGGGCTATTGGGCAGGGGCTGAGGAGTGTCGTGGGCGCCGCTTGCAGCGACTTGAACCCGAAACCCGAAACCCACCCACCCCCCACCCAACCCCACCCAAAAAGAAGCAAAAACCCTAAACCCTAAACCCTAAACCCTTTTTCTTGCGCATGTTGACGGCCTGAATGCCAGAATCGCATGTTGGAAGCAAAGTCGCTTCTTTGCGCCATGTGCACCCGAGGATCCGCGGTTGGCCTCCTCCGACACTGTTCCTATCTTCGGCGCTAGGGTTTAGGGTCTAGGGTTTAGGGTTTAGGGTTTACGGTCTAGGCTCTAGGGTTTAGGGTTTATCAACCCAAATTGCATCTGCCAGCTGATCCAAGACTTGCACATGGACTTAGGACGCTCACGGCGTGCTTGCATCGGCCAATTCCACGGCACACAAGCCCCAAAACCCTAAACCCTAAACCCTAAACCCTAAACCCCAAACCCTAAACCCTAAACCCTAAAACCCTAAACCCTAAAACCCTAAACGCTAAAACCCTGCACCCTGAAGCCCTACACCCTGAAGCCCTAAGCCCTAAACCCTAACACCCGAAAACCCTGACAGCCCAAGTGGCCTGCCATTCAGTCTGGACAGACCATGGAACTTTATGCCAATTTAGGGCTTACGGGTCAGAGCCCCTCCAGTTATAGATGCTGGGAAAAAACAAGCATCAGCACATGCATACTTTACGTGTTGAAGGCAAACCCGCTTGTGGATGTTCTTGTGAAGTACGGTATATATTTCTTGTACCCCTAAACGGACACCCGATACATACACTCACCAGTATTAAATGGGAACCTTATATACGGACACCCGATACATACACTCACCAACAGCTTTTTGGGGGGTAGTTACGTTATAAGGGAACCCATAACCCAAAAAAAGGGAAGAAAAGGGCACCACTGGGCTACGAAGGTGTGTATAATGAGGCTTCCTAAACCCTAAACCCTAAACCCTAAACCCTAAAAGACTTTCTCTCTTTGGCTTGGACTCCCTTAACGACCCCATAAATGCCTCTGGAATCCAGTGATGTGTGGTGTAGATTTTAGGGGCTTCCTAAACCCTAAACCCTAAACCCTAAACCCTAAACCCTAAACCCGGGATTTGGACCCTTTCTCAGGCTTAATGGTGGTGTGTTGGCCGAGTCAGTGCGCCATGTGCCACATTGCTTTGAACCAGAAAGCGGAACATTGCCGTCACGAACTTCGATAGAAGAGTGACTGCCCAGCTCTGGCGGACCACATGGGGGATCTAGGATCAGGGCCGGGGCCCAACCCCCAAAGTGAAAAGAGATCCACTACAGGCTCAACTAGTCTGTCGTGGTACAGCCCACCTCCTTAGATGAGCAGCACTTGAAACACTTCTTGTGCTCACGGATCAACTAAATCTTGAGCCAGGCTCAGCCCCTCGGCAGAGTAAAGCCACGCAGGGAACACATGCGCCAGACTAAACAAAATCCCTGAACCCAAAACCCTAAACCCTAAACCCTAAACCCTAAACCCTAAACCCTAAACCCTCTTCGTTGCCTCGAGTTACCTCTGTACCCTCTCCAAGAAAGAAAGCAGCTCACAGCAACAGTTAGGGCACATCTCCTTGTAACAGTATATCACGGGTTTCCCTACTACGCCCCTCTATACTTCCGCCCCCCCCCCCCTCCCAGGTTTCACCTTAAGCAGCTTTACTCTCCCTAGCCTTTAAATAGCCTTAATTGTGGGGGGAACCAGGCGGGGTAGTCTAGAGGGGGGGTAGTATGGATTCCCCCCCAAAACCTAAACCCGGCACCCTCAACCCTAAGCCCTGAACCCTCAGCCCTGAACCCTAAACCCTAAACCCTGAACCCTAAACCCTAAAGGCATCTGTTCCACCACGTGCGGTGCGGCCCCCCGCCAAGCTGCGGGTCGCCCACGCCGTGCAAGCCGGCAGCATTTCGCACGTCCCATGATGGCCATGCTTCGAGCTTGAAGTGTGTCGTTTAGGGTTTAGGGTTTAGGGTTTTGGGTTTTGGGTTTTGGGTTTTGGGTTTTGGGTTTTGGGTTTATAATGTAGATAACTGACCAACCACGAGACACTAGCCTCCTGCTCGCTGCAGCCTCTAAATCCTGCGGGCCCCTCCACGTAGACCCGAAACCAGACATCCGAAGCCCTAAACCCTAAACCCTAAACCCTAAACCCTAACCCTAAACCCTAATCCTAAACCCTAAACCCTAAACCCTAAACCCTAAACCCTAAACCCTAAACCATACATCCTAAACCCTAAACCCTAAACCCCCTACAACCCTGGAACACCCCAGCTGGGCATGCCATTGGGAACAGCAGCGTCCTGGGTAAACGTGGGGCCTCTCCTTGCTTTTCGGGCTTGGAGCCTGGTTTAGGGTTTAGGGTTTAGGGTGTAGGGTTTAGGGTTTAGGGGTTAGGGGATAGGGTTTAGGGTTCAGGGTTAGGGTTTTGGGTTTTGGGTGTTGGGTTTTGGATTTAGGGTGTAGGGTTCAGGGTTTAGGGTTTGGGTCAAGGGACAAAAGGAGGGACAAAAGGAGGGACCCTTAGATTAGGGACCTTCGGGGTTCTTCAGGGGGCCGCTTAGGTATATGGGGACCATAAAAGGTACGTACAGGGGCTCTATTTGAGAGTCAGGGTCCCTTCCTTATACCCCTTGGTTGGGACTTCGGTACACCCACCCCAACTACCCAGATCCCAAAAGTAGATCCTCTTCTATAAGAGCTCTGCCTCATGCAACGGAAAGTATATTCTGGGTAAGGGCGTAACAATCTAGTCTACACCTTAAGGCTTTGGGGTTGAAACATATTGGGGGTTGGGGGTTCAGGGTTCTAGGATTTCGAGAAGGTTTCGGGTAATTCGTGTGCAAGGAGAGGCGCCTCACTGGCCCGGGAGCCAGAGGAGAGAGACCCTTCAGCCCACCCTCTGGCAGAGCCACGACATAAAGAGTTGGTTGCTAGCATCCGTGCAGGAGGCCAAGCACACGAGCAGGAGTGGGTTAGAGGTTAAGTCTAAGCATGTGGCACACCCGGACCTCTTAACCCTGAGAACCTTGAACTCATAAACCTTCAGCCGCAACAGCATCCCAGGCCAAACCCTACAGTTTAAGCCGACTAAGAGGAGAGGGGTGGGGGGGGGGGTAAGTAAAGCCTATACCACCGTATAAACCTACAAAGCCTATAAGCCTCTCATAACTAACCCTCATCCTACAAGCCCCAAAAACCCTGCAACCCATTTTTTTTGGGCTATCGTGCGACCCCGTTTAGGTGATCGGCCGAGGTGCACCTTGGCCACCTTGAGCTTCAGGGTTTAGGGTTTAGGGTTTAGGGTTTAGGGTTTAGGGTTTAGGAGTTTAGAGTTTAGGGTTTGCGGGGCTTTGGGCTTCGGGCTTCGGGCTCCGGGCTCTTCTGACTCAGCGCTTATAGGGCTTCACAGGGGTGAAAAGGGGTTGTAGCTTTGCAGGGCTTGCAGGGCTTGCAGGGCTTGCAGGGCTTGCAGGGCTTGCAGGGCTTGCAGGGCTTGCAGGAAGCATAAGGATCTTGGGCTTTTTTGGGCCATTTAGGAGCCACTCCTTCTCGTTCCCTTCAGTCCCGTGAAGGAACTTAAGGGCTTATGTACCTCAAAGCCTCCTCATCTGGGGGCTGCGGGGTATGTAGGCACTGGGGCAGCTCTTGCTGCTGGCTTTGCCTGCGCCTTCGCACCATGTCTTCGAGAAAGCCAGGATCATCGGCCAGGACTTGTTGCAAACGATCCATCCTGGATAAGGGGTTTAGGTTTGGGGTTTAGGGTTTCGGGTTTAGGCTTTCGGGTTTTGGGAAACCCAAGCACCCTAAATCCGAAAGGGTAGGGCTCGAAGGGCATGTAAGGCTTGTCGTGTTTAGCAGGGCTTGTAGGAGAATACACACGGCGGAAGCAAAACTATGCCCCTTATATGCCCTACACAACCTTAAAGAATGTAAGGGACCATATTAAGGGCCCATGTAACTGCCCTTAGACCGACGAAGAAAAAGAGGGGCTATACAGCGCGCGCTATACTCAACACCGCACGAGCTTAGGGCGCCAACGTGGCGGAGACCGCGATTGACCAGCGACTTTTGCATGGCGTTCGTGGGAATGCTGGGGCTTGCGGGGTGTACAGGGTTTATCAGGCTTAGGGGGTTTACGGGTTGCGGTTAAGCACCCTGAACTCAACATGCTTGACGCCATCACCGACATAAATAGCAGACGTAAGGAAGCCTGTTGCTCAGGACAGAATGCCCGGTTTTCGAAAATTGGGGGGGGGGGGGCGGGGGGCGGGGGCACCTGTTTCGGGGTTCCTACAACTAGGATGACAGCTTGTTCGCTATTTTTGGTGGGGGGGGTGGGGGGTGGAGAGGCGCATTGACGGGTGCCCTTTTCTTTGGGGGAAAAGGCCCCCCCCTAAACCCTTAAACCCCTAAAGACCTAAACCCCTAAACCCCTAAACCCCTAAACCCCTAAACCCCCAAACCCCTAAACCCCTAAACCCCTAAACCCCTAAACCCCTAAACCCCTAAACCCCTAAACCCCCAAACCTCTAAACCCCTAAACCCCTAAATCCCTAAAACCCCCAAACCCCTAAACCCCTAAACCCCTAAACCCCGAAACCCCTAAACCCCTAAACCCCTAAACCCCCAAACCCCTGAACCCCTAAACCCTAAACCCTAAACCCTAAACCCTAAACCCCTAAACCCTAAATCCCAACCTGATGCTTTATAGGGGGCGAGGCTCCGATTCAAGTGCCATCGGTGCATGCGCTGATCTGGCTGTGAAGGGTGCCGATGCTCGCGGCTTTGCAACGCGTCCTCTGATCTCCTTAGGAGTCTCAGACTCCCTCACTTAAAGGTTTATAGGGGTTTCGGGTTCAGGGTTTAGGGTTTAGGGTTTAGGGTTTAGGGTTTAGGGTTTAGGGTTTAGGGTTTAGGGTTTAGGGTTTAGGGTTTAGGGTTTAGGGTTTAGGGTGTAGGGACCCACTTATCAGGCCCTTAAGTACAGTACCCAAAATTTAGGGTACTAATTGGACTAAAGGTGCAGCTATACTTGGGTTCATAACTACCACGAACCTCCACGTTCCGGTTCACTAGGTACCTTTTCTCCCCCTTGTATATACTGTTAAAATTATACGAGGATATGTACACCTCTGTTCCTTCAGAACCTCTCCAAACCCTAGCGGCCGTGACGCCATTGCCAAAACCTTCAAGAAAAAAGCACAACCCCAAACACTAAACCCTAAACCCCAAACCATAAAACCCTAAACACTAAACACCAATTCGAGCTATGGATTGGCGTAGGGTTTAGGGTTTGGGGCGTTGAGGATTTGGTCAGGGAAGCTCTCAGGAAAGTAAGGGGCTACATATAGCCCTAGACCCCAAAACCCTTAACCCCAAACCCCTACATAGACCCAGAACACTAAACCCTAAACCCCAAACCTCGAACCCTAAACCCTAAACCCTGAACTGCCTGAACCTTAGATTTCCAAGCTTCATCGAGGACCACGGCCTGGCCCCGACCTCCACCTCCTCCACCGCGTGTTTGGGCTTTGGGGCTTAGAGGGTTTGTAGGGTTTAGGGTTTAGGGTTTAGGGTTTAGGGTTTAGGGTTTAGGGTTTAGGGTTTAGGGTTTAGGGTTCAGTGTGCATCCAAATTTCCTTCACCTTGGGATGCTCCCCCCCTAGTGCTAACAGTCCTTAATAGGGTTTAGGGTTTAGGGTTTAGGGTTTAGGGTTTAGGGTTTAGGGCTTAATAGGGATTAGAAATACACCTATTCTAATCCCTATTAGGGCCTGTTAGTCTTACGGGGAACATCCCAACCTGCACCCTACACCCTACACCTTACACCCTAAACCCTAAACCCTAAACCCTAAACCCTAAACCCTAAACCCTAAACCCTAACCCGAAACCGTCCTCCACGGAAAGCTGATCTTCGGAGTCAGCGGTGCACTGCTTTTCCAGAGGGGGAATGCCGGCTGCGTCGAAGTCCATGACCTCATTTACGCAAAGCCCCCCCTTTGCAACCATATTCTTTTAATCATACTTTCGCTACTCCCTTGCGTTTTGCACATTGCAGGGTTTAAGGGCTTAGGGCTCGGAACTTCTAGGGCCTAGGGATGTATTGTGGGAAGCCTCAACAAGGGGTACCTTTTCTGCGGCTGCCCTTTCGGGGCCTTTGGGGCAGCTGGGAGCTTCCATTAGGTGGGGACCCTTTGGTGGTAACTTTCGGGTGGGCCCTTTAGGCTTGAAGTAACTTTGCAAGTTCAGCATGACAGGCTGGAAAGCCATAATCTGTTGCTGTATGACTGTTGCTTTGCTCTACCATGCCTTTGTGTTGCCGTATGGTTATGTTGTTCTCCTGCCTTTCTATGTTCTTAAGCAAGCTGCACATGCCAGTGCTGTTGCGGGTTCTCACCAAACACGGGAAGTAGGGAAATGCCGAGAGGCCTTTTGAACCCTCAACTCAATAAGGGAAAGATGAGTCAAAAAAAAACATCCCAAATCCCACCCAGGTCGCCATGCATCGCTTGGGGATGGGAGTGCTCGGCCTCTTCACGCCCGAAGGGTTGACCCACGCATCTTCAGATGCTCCAGTGCTTGCTCCACAGCCCATGGCAGCTACTCTCTACCCCCAACTCGGATCCTAGCCGACCAAAGAACCTGAGTGGCAGCGAAGCAAGCTCCTTGCGCCTTAGGGTTTAGGGTTTAGGGTTTAGGGTTTAGGGTTTAGGGTTTAGGGTTTAGGGTTTAGGGTTTAGGGTATAAGGGTGAACATCCCAACCTCCCTCACTCAAAGCCTCAAACCCTGAAGCCCCAAAAATTGCATCCTCATCTTGCTAGTGAAAAGTCCGGGGAGAACACAACAACAGTGCAAACGTTGAGTCCGTATATTCAGAATTTTCATGCCCCTAGAGGGACTCGGCGAAAGAGAGAGACAGAGAGAGAGAGAGAGAGAAAGACAAAAACAAAGAAAGTTTAGGGTTTAGGGATTACGGATTGGGGTTTCGGGTTTAGGGTTTAGGGTTTGAGAAAAACACATCAAATCGGGAGAATCAGCACATTGGCCGGACAGAGTCGGGGGGATGCCTTTTCGGCGGGGAATTGTGACAACAAGTTTACACTCTGACATAGGGCAAACGGCGTCTCGTTAGGATTTAGGGTTTAGGGTTTAGGGTTTAGGGTTCAGGGTTCAGGGTTTAGGGTTTAGGGTTTAGGGTTTAGGGTTTAGGGTTTAGGGTTTAGGGTTTAGGGTTTAGGGTTTAGGGTTTAGGCACTGGGATTTGTAGCATGCCTATAGACAAAACCCTCCCAAACCCCAAACCCCCAACCCTAAACCCTCAACCCTAAACCCCAAACCCCAAACCCCAAACCCCCAACCCTAAACACTCAACTCTAAACCCTAAACTCCCTGCAACCATCGGGCTCCTCACTGAAACCTTAACCCCTAAACCCTCAACCCTAAACCCTAAACCCCAAACCGCAAACCCCAAATCCCAAACCCTAAACCCTACAAACCCTAAACCCTAAACCCCTAAACCCTAAACCCTACAAACCCTAAACCCTAAACCCCTAAACCCTAAACCCTCGAACTCTCCGGGTCTCCCCGCGCTGGCGCAACGCTTCGCGGGCCAGGTCCTCGGCCTCCCCGAGGCGCTCGCCCGCTCCCAGCAGCGCGGAGAGGTTGTCGAGACTCCTTGGGGGGGGGGGGGGGGGTTTTAGGGTTTAGGGTTTAGGGTTTGGGGTTTAGGGTTTAGGGTTTCGGGTTCGGGTTTAGGGTTTAGGGTTTAGGGTTTAGGGTAGGGTTTAGGGTTTAGGGTTTAGGGTTTAGGGTTTAGGGTTTAGGGTTCAGGGTTTAGGGTTTAGGGTTTAGGGTTTAGGGTTTAGGGTTTAGGGTTTAGGGTTTCGGGTTTCGGGTTTAGGGTTGAGGGTTTAGGGTTTAGGGTTTAGGGTTTAGGGTTTAGGGTTCAGGTTTAGGGGTTAGGGTTAACCCAATTTTTTTGGGAGGTGTTTAGGGGGTTTAGGGGGTTTAAGGGGGTTAGGGTTTCGAAGTTTAGGGGTTCTGGGCTAGGGTTTAGGATTTTTCGGGGTTTAGGGGTTAAGAGGGTTTAGGGGGTTTGGACCCTTTGGGGGTGTGGGGGTTTGAGGGCCAAGGGGTTAGGGGTTTAGGGTTTAGAGCTTCTGGAAATAGGGTTTCGGGTTGAGGGAGCCCGACAGTCTACATCTGCCACCAAACCCTAAACCCCTACATCCCCGAACCCTCCCCCAAGACAAAGGTTCAAACCCCTCAAACCCGAAACCCTGAACCTGAAACCCTCAACCTGTGTCCAGAAGCTGTACACCCTAAACCTTAACCCTAAACCTGGAAACCCTAAACCGTCGATGGAGGCGAGGATCGTAAGCGTGTCTGGGTGCCCCTCAGGGAGCGCGCGGCGGCCTGGGTTGCTTGGCAGGCTCGGTGTTCCCCTCGGGGTCAAGACTTTTTGTTGTCTTGCGTTTGCAATTTTTTGCAGGGGAGGGGGGGGGAGGGGGGTTGGGGTTTAATCAGGGCTTAGGGCTGTGGGGGCTTAGAGTTTAGGTTTTTGAGATTTGGGGTTTTGGGATTTGGGTCGAAGGTAAATTTTCAGAGCCCCCCCACTCCCAGACAAAGACGGAGGCTCAGGCCCACCCTGAAACTGCTCCAAATAAGACGCGCCCACGTTTTCTTGGAGGTTCATGGGCGGTTAGAGCTTGTATTGGGGTTCTAATTTAACCTTCATTTCAACCCCCCCCCCCCTGTGGTCCTTCAACCCTAAACCCCTAAACCCTAATCCTACACCCTAAATCCTCAACCCCAAACCCGAAACCCTACACCTCAAATCCTAAACCCTACACCCTACACCCCAAACTCGAAACTCTACACCCCAAACCCTAAACCCTGCACCCCAAACAACCCTACACCCTAGACCCTAAAGTCTGCCCCCCTAACCCCGAACCCCGAACCCCTAAACCCTAAACCCTAAACCCTAAACCCTAAACATGCTGTTTTACTACCCAAGCAAACCTTGCAGTGCCTCTGCAAGCTCAACCCGTATACCGAAACCCGAAGCCCCTAAACCCTAAACCCTAAACCCCCTAAACCCTAAACCCTAAACCCCAAACCCTAAGCCCTAAACCCTAAACTTCTTGTTGCTGTGCCTCTGCAAGCTCTTGGGCCGCCGCACTCCTCCAGAACTTCGCGGAGGAGCTGCTCCGCCTCAACGTCGCGCCCTTGCGCCTGGCAAAGGGGTTTCGGGTTTAGGGTTTAGGGTTTGGGGTTTAGGGTTTAGGGTTTAGGGTTTAGAGTTTAGGGTTTAGGGTTTCGGGTTTAGGGTTTATTTGGGGTTTCGGGTTGAGGGCGCAGGATCCAGGATCTAGGAAGGGGCCTTTTTGGGAGGTAGGTTCAGGGCTCAGGGCTCAAGAACCCAAAAACCCTACACCCTAAACCCCAAGCCCGAAACCCTAAACCCCAAACCCCAAACCCTAAACCCCAAACCCTAATCCCCAAAACCCAAACCCTAAACCCCAAACCCCAAACCCTAAACCCCCAAACCAAACCCCAAACCCTAAACCCCAAACCCTAAACCCCAAACCCTAAACCCTAAACCCCCCCCCCCCCGCCAAAAAACAAAACGAGCAAAAGAGCTCGAAGGCCTTGAGTAGCACGGCGAGGCTCTGGCTGCTGGCCCGCGTGTCCGAATGCCCCTCCCTGAGCTTCACCCGGCCTCAGGAGACTTCTGCTGAGAGCTTTGGGGTTCAGGGTTTAGGGTTTAGGGTTTAGGGTTTAGGGTTTAGGGTTTAGGGTTTAGGGTTTAGTGCTTAGGGTTTAAGGGTTTAGAGTTTAGGGTTTAGGGGTGTGGGGTTTGGGGTTTGGGTTTAGGGCTTAGGGCTTAGGGTTTACGGTTTAGGGTTTAGGGTGAGAGCTTTGAGCTTGGGATGTTGCCGCTTGTACTGACAGTCCTCCATAGGGATTATCATAACCTCCGATTATGACCCCTTTTCAGGACTGTTAGTATAAGGGGGAACATCCCAAGCTTTGAGGCTTAAGGGTTCAGGGGTGTTCAGAGTTTAGGGTTTTGGGGTTTAGGGTTTCTCAACCCTGAACCCTGAACTCCAAGCCTGAGCCCTTACCACACACACCCTCAACCTAGTAAACCACGGGCTGATCGGAGCTTCGGCACTGGGCCTCCCGACACGTTTGGGCGAGCTCTCGATAAAGCCCCTCCGCCTGATGGGAGTAGAATTCGAGCCCACCCTACACCCTAAACCCTTAAACCCTAAGCCCTTAAACCCTAAACCCTGAAACCCTAAGCCCTTAAACCCTAAGCCCTTCAACTTAAAAGGCCATATGGAGGGGGATCTCCTTCTGCCTCATGTCGCTGGCAGCCCGGAAACTTCGAAACCAGCCAACCCCTGAAACCGCCCCAACCCCCCCCAAACCCCCCCCCCCCCAAAAAAAAAAAAAACACCTTCTAAACCCCCTAAAACCCCAAAAAACCTAAGCCACCCCCAAAAAACCCTCAAAAAAACCCTTGAAAAGACCCGAAGCAATTCTGGTTTGACGAGCATTTTTTTTTGGGGCCAAGGCCTCGTCGAGCAGGCCCCGCCGCAGGAGCCTCCCCGCCAGCTCAGACATGCCTGGGATAAAATTCTCACCCTAAACCCTAAACCCTAAACCCTAAACCCTCGGGTTTGGGGCTCCAGAGCCCTTGATCAAGGGTTTGAAGTTTAAGGTTTAGGGTTTAGGGTTTTCAGAGTTTAGGGCCTAGGGCTTTTAGGGCTTGGGGATTTTTAGGGTTTACGGTTTAGGGCTTTGTAGGGGGCTTAGGGTTTTACAGGGTTTAGAGTGTAGGGTGTCGAGTTCAGGGGTTTGGGGTTTAGGGCGTAGAGTTTAGGGTTAAGAGTTTAGGAGTTTGTCATTGCCCTGGGTGTGATCGCGGTCCTGCTCACATGTAAAAAGTCTTAGCACACCACAACATCTCGCGAAAAACTAGCTGAAGCAAAAGCTCTGACCCAAAACGGTAAAGCCGAAAACGAAACAAGCTCGAAAAAAGAAAAACACATAACTAAACTAAACCCTGAAACCCCGAAGCCCTACAGCCCCCTATAAAGTACCGAACTTCATTTGAGCCACAGGCGAGAGTGCCCGAATGGTCGGAGCCCAACACCTTCTGGGGCTTTGGGTTTCGGGCCTAGGATTTAGGGTTACTACCGTCGTGCCCCTACCCTGAAAGGGCCAAGAAAAGTTTCAGGGTCCCACAACGAGCCCAAACTGCAAGACATGGAACTTCGACCATTTTGTCTATGGGACAGATCCGGGGGTCAGGGCCTGGAACTGAGCACCAAGCTCTCGAAAAGAGCGCACCCCAGGCCTGTAAGGTCCGGTTCCGGGGGGCCCCAAACCCGACACCCCAAACCCCCGAAGCCCAAACCCTAAACCCCGAACTCCGAACCCTAACCCCCAAACCCTAAACCCCAAACCCTAAACCCCAAAACCGAGAGCGGAAGCGCAAAAACTGCGGATTTGAGGTCTGGGCATTGTGGAAATCCTGACGGGGAACAGACACCCAAACCACTCCCTCTGCACTTGCAAGCTCCCCTGACGAGGTGGAGCCCGGGGTTAAGGGTTTAGGATTGAGGGTTTAGCGTTTAGGGCTTAGGACATAGCATGTCTACTTCGTGTTTCCTAGAAATCCTTTCAGAATCCCCATTAGCCCAACTTGCTGACCCTACTTCCTAAGTCAAAGAAGTGCTTCCAACAGGGGTGCCCCAAGAATGAAAGGCCTGTAGAAGGGATTCCGGCAACCTCAAACAAGAAAACGGGCAATAAACCCTAAACCCTAAACCCGAAACCCTAAACCCTAAACCCTACCCCTTCTCCAGTGGTTCGCAGGACATGTCCTTTAACTTAAGGTTTAGGGTTTAGGGTTTCGGGTTTCGGGTTTAGGGTAGAGGGCTTACAGGGGCAGGGCTCGTCAACCCTCAAAACCATTTTAAACCCCGACTGCCAACGGCATCCCACAGGCGCAACAAGGCGGCTTTCGGGCTTAGGGTTTAGGGTTTAGGGTTTAGGATTTAGGGTTTAGGATTCAGGGTTTAGGATTTGGGGTTTTGGGTTTAGATGATGCAAGGCTTAGGGTGTAGGATTTCGGGTTTAGGGCCATCTCCAAACGGGGTCGGAGACAAGAATTCAAGCCCTTCTATCTATTGCCAAAGAGTAAGTACTATATAGGTTGCCCTAAACCCTAAACCCGAAGACTTCCCCAAGCCCTAAACCCTAAACCCCAAACCCTAAACCCTAAATCCTAAACCCCAAACCCTAAACCCTTAACCCTGAACTTTAAACTTCGCTGAAACCGATTGCTTGCCTCCCGTAGGCGGCAAAGGCGAAGCCGAAGAAGCTGCAGCAAAGAATCTGCTTCCGCGGAGGCGTGGCGCACCTTTTGAGCCAGAGAGGCAGGCTGCTTTGAGCTTGGTTTGGGGTTAGGGTTTAGGGTTTGGGGTTTAGGGTTTGGGGTTTAGGGCTTGGGGACTAGGGTTTAGGGTTTGGGGTTAGGGTTTGGGTTTTTAGGGTTTAGGGTTTAGGGTTTAGGGTTTAGGGTTTAGGGTTTAGAGTTTAGGGCTTGGGGATTAGGGTTTAGGGTTTGGGGGATTGGTGTTTCGGGTTTGGTTCCCTACATCATATTCGGCTTCCGATTATAATTTAAGGGATATTCCTGAAGTAAGGGGTTCTGGAGTCTCTGGGTAGGGCTTGGGTTAGGGTTTGGGGTTTAGGGTTTAGGATTTAGCTTCTGTAGGGTTTAGGGATTAGGGCTTGGGGATTAGGGTTTGGGGTTTGGGGTTTAGGGTTTAGGGTTTGGGGTTTAGGATTTAGGGTTTCGGGTTTAGGATTCAGGGTTTGGGGTTTAGGATTTGGGGTTTGGGGTGTAGGATTTAGGGTTTGGGGTTAAGGGTTTAGGGTTGAGAGGTTAAGGTTTGAGGTGTACTTAGTAGGGCTGAGAGTTTAACATTTATAGCTATTAAAGCTCTACCAACTATTGCGGGGTTCTACCCACACTACGAGAAGTGCTAAACTCCCAACCAAAACACAACGAATCTAAACTCCTAAAGCCCTCAAGACCCAAAAAATAGCAGCCCAAACCCCAAACCCCAAACCCTAAACATAACCCTGGCAGAATGAAGGCTTTTGGCGGGCTCCACACCTGGCCAACGCTGTCCGTCACACGGACAACCCACACGTCGCGGGCGGGATCCACGGCCCTGCCCTTGTAGTCCTGGCGAAAGTTGGGGCTCTAGGGTTTTAGAGTTTCTCAAGAGCTCACCCCTAAACACTAAACCCGATAAACCGGCTCATCACCCGAAACCCTACACATCACATATTTACATATATACATCATATATATATATATATACATATATATAATACAGATATAGATAAAGAAACCCCAAACCCTACATCCCAAACCCCAGCGTTAGCTGCAAGGCTTAGGAGGTTGGGGGCTTACGCACGGTTCAAGAAATTAAGTTATATCCCCCTATAATGATTAATTGATAGGCACTTGTAGGTTTAGAGTAAGGCTCAGGGGCTCAGACCAAATATTAACCCCAAGTTAGGGCCGCGGGGATCAGGACATTGGGATTTGGGGTTTAGGGGTTTGGGGCTTAGGGTTTAGGAGTTTAGGGGTTTAGGGGTTTAGGGGTTTCGGGGTTTAGGGGTTTAGGGGTTTCGGGGTTTAGGGTTTCGGGTTTAGGGGTTAGGGGTTTAGGTTTAGGGTTTAGGGTTTAGGGTTTAGGGTTTAGGGTTTTAGGGTTTAGGGTTTAGGGGTTAGGGTTTAGGGTTTAGGGTTTCGGGTTTCGGGTTTAGGGTTTAGGGTTGAGGGTTGAGGGCTTAGGGTTTGGGGAGGGCACCCTTCGTCCTCGCCCAGGCGAACGCGGCGCTCCGCCTGCGCCGCCGCGTCCCAAACCAGCTTCTCCTCAAGGTCGGGCCTCTGTCTCAGCCCCCTTGAAGGCTTTCCGGGTTTAGGGTTCAGGGTTTAGGGTTTAGGGTTTAGGGTCTAGGATCTAGGGTTTAGGGTTTAGGGTGTAGGCTTTAGGGTTTAGGGTTTAGGGTTTAGGGTTTAGGATTTAGGGTTATGGTTTAGGGTTTAGGGTTTAGGGTTTAGGGTTTAGGGTTTAGGGTTTAGGGTTTAGGGTTTAGGGTTTAGGGTTTAGGGTTTAGGGTTTAGGGTTTAGGGTTATGGTTTAGGGTTTAAGGTTTAGGGCTTAGGGCTTAGGGTTTAGGGTTTAGGGTTTAGGCTTAGGTGTTTAGGTTGTAGGGCATTTTGGGCTTCAGGGCATTTTGGGGCTTCTAGGGTCTTACGGTCTCAGGGTTGGCAACTGGCAAAAGTTAGGGTAGGTTAGATTCGACCTCTATGCCACGTGTATCTATCCCTAAACCCCAAACCTCTATCCCTAAACCATAAAACTGTAGACCCTAAACACTAGTCCGGCTTCCGGCTTTGTCTTGGTCGGTTGGTGTCGGAGGTGGCGAGGGGAAAAGAAGTTGTGACATCATCTTGGGATCCCAGTTGCAATCTGAAGAAACAAGCTTAGGGTTTAGGGTTTAGGGTTTAGGGTTTAGGGTTTAGGGTTTACGGTTTAGGGTTTAGGGTTTAGGGTTTAGGGTTTAGGGTTTAGGGTTTAGGGTTTAGGGTTTAGGGTTTCGGGTTTAGCGTTTAGGGTTTAGGGTTCAGGGTTCAGGGTTTAGGGGGTACGTATGACTAGGATCCCCTGAAGAATTTGGCCCAAGTTGAAGGACATTGGAGCCTCTGGGCCCCTTTGCCCTGCGAAACTTGGCGGTGCCGCCATGCCGTCATGTGCAGCAGGCGGTGGACATGTCGGGATTCGAAGCTACCCCCGACAGCTCACGAGGTCCCTAAATCCTAAACCCGAAATTCCTAAACCCTAAACCCTAAACCCTAAACCCCTAAACCCTAAACCCTGAACCCTAGACCCTAAGCCCTAAACCCTAAACCCTAAACCCTAAACCCTAACCCTAAACACTAAACCCTGAACCCTAAACCCTTATTACAGGAGCACTGTAGGGGTGGCTTCCGCGCTTTTTGAGGGGCTCTGATTCTGAAACGTCTCTGGTTAATTGGACCTTGTGCGGGGGGTTTAGGGCTTAGGGTTGAGGGTTTAGGGTTCAGGGGTTTAGTGTTTAGGGTTTAGGGTTTAGGGATTAGGGGTTTAGGGGTTTAGGGTTTAGGGGGTTAGGGGTTTAGGGGTTTAGGGTTTAGGGTTTAGGGTTTAGGGTTTAGGGTTTAGGGTTTAGGGTTTAGGGTTTAGGGTTTAGGGTTTGGGGTTTAGGGTTTAGGGTTTAGGGTTTAGGGTTTGGGGTTTGGGGTTTGGGGTTTAGAGGAACTTACTTGTAAAGGGATACTTCTCGGTTACGCAAGATCCCCTAACCCTATTAAGGCTAGCATCTCAGAACAGCCTTGCCCTCTGCTGACTGGCTTATTGCATGCCAATCTTGAAGCTCCAAGGACCTGGACTTTGAGGTCACGAGTCACGTTGAATGGCGAAGGTTGGCCCAGGCCCGGGTTCGGGCAAGCTTCCGAGAGTGCGCACTTCCAATGGTGCAGAGCAGAAACGGAGGCCAATCACGCGAGACAGGGGAAAATTGAAGAGCCCCCCTTGAGGGCCATGCGTTGGGAGAGCTTGTGTGAGGATGAGTGCCTCGCTGAACTCGGCCGAGGAAGGTCAGAACAGGTCAGAACCGTCAGAACCAAGCTCTATGAGAACGCGATGAATCGCCGAGTTCACCACACACAGGCCTCCGAGAAACCTAGCGGACGCAGGTTGCAAAATGCGGGGGATAGTGGAGTCGAGAGCTGTTTCTCAGTGGATCCGGAATGCCCTCATGTTTCAACATCCCTACACCCCCTAATACCGAGAGTACTACATTCACACCCCTTCAACATGTGAGTGTCGAGTCCTGCCCGTCAAGAAAGCTACAGGGCTACTCTAGGTACCCCTGCACCAGATTCCCCTCTAGCCAACAAAAATGCCCATCGCATGCTTGTTGAATGATCTTCTCAATAAGTCCAACATTGCAAGCGACGCAGCCCCAAACCTAGGGGTGAGATTCCTCAGGTGTAGAGGCGTAAGCAATGAAAGCCCTATGGTACCCTAAACCCTAAACCCTAAACCCCAAACCCTAAACCCTAAACCCTAAACCCTTACCATAGCCTTACCATAGCCTTCCCCAAGGCTTGCTGCGGGCACGGGGCTCGGGGTTCTAGGAGCTATCCTCCACAAGGCTTTGGCCTTGCTGAGTCAGATTTCGAAGTCTTGAAGCTTTGGAAATGTTATTAGGGTTTAGGGTTTAGGGTTTAGGGTTTAGGGTTTAGGGTTTAGGGTTTAGGGTTTAGGGTTTAGGGTTTAGGGCTGTAAGGCTGACGTGGACCACGCAACAACATCTCAATCCGACTGCTCGGCGGCCAGTGGCCGGCCGGACTTCACTCAGCGGTGCAGCATTGCAAGAAGAAGCTGTGGTCTGTACATATGCAGTGTGCATAGCCCAAGCTCCTCAACAACTTTTCAGAAAATGTGAAAAAAGAATCCTGCAGAGTCCGCGTAGAATGCTAGGCTTTGTGCCCCAGGCTTTATACATTCTGGGGCGGCTTCAGGTATGTCTCTGCAGCACCTCTCTATATTCAGATGTGTAGAATAGGGCCTTTGGCAATGTTTGCGCTTGCGATGGTCCGGCCCGAACGCTTGCAAGTTTTTTAGGGTGCATCGCAGCAGAAACAAAGCCCCAATCACGCAGCGTAGAGCGTGGTGTCCATCAAAGCCGGTCGCCCGAAGAAATGGAAAATTGAAGCACCCCCGGGGGCCGTGCGTTGGGAGAGCTAGTGTGAGGATGAGTCCCTCGCTGAACTCGGCCGAGGAAGGTCAGAACAGGTCAGAACCGTCAGCACCAGGCTCTATGAGAACGCGATGAATCGCCGAGTTCGGCCGGACTTCACACAGCGGCGCAGCATTGCAGCGCATGTGGGCCGTTTGGCGAGAAGAAGCTGTGGTCTGTACATATGCCGTGCGCATGGCCCAAGATTTCTCCTCAACAACTTTCCAGAAAATGTGAAAAAAGAATCCTGCAGCGTCCGCGTAGAATGCTAGGCTCGGTTGCAGATAGCGTTTGGGACGGCTGTCCCTAAACCCTAAACCCTAAACCCTAAACCCTAAACCCTAAACCCATACTGCTTTCTGAGGTCCGGGGTTTGGTGGTTCTCCTCTATGCTAGCACGCACGCGAGCTTACGTCGCGTGCACCAAAGGCCGCTGGGCGCTGCATGTTGCCTGCGCAGCAACGAGCATCTCATCGCACGAGTCGAGCAAGCCCACGCCCCTCCAGGACCTGCACAGGGGTGTAAGGTTTAGGGTTTCGGGTTTAGGGTTTAGGGTTTGGGGTTAAGGGGCAAGGGTTAAGCGCGCAGAGCAGTCAATCAGCAAAGGTTCCAAAACTAAATCTGCAAAGTAGCGCAAGGCATCGAGGAATGACGTCGTGCTGCGTACCCAGCAGCTCCTCCATTGCGCGCTTGCCTTGATATTGGCGGATGCCGGTATCAAGTGCCGGGCGAGGAAATGGCGGGGAATCATCAAATTCACCAGCAGGCAACATCGAGGGACGATGAGCACAGCCAAGCGTCTCCGAAATGTTCAGACTCGATTGAAACATCTGAGGTGTTCCACTGGCCGATGTCCTGGTTGAACTGGAGCGCCTCGAAAAACATGCCGGAAATGTCCTGGACCGCTGACGTCTTCCACTTGCCCAGGTCTTGGTTGAAACTGCGCGCGCGATCGAACATGTGGCTCATGTTCCGGACAGCTGACGTGTCCCAGTTCCCGATGTCTTGGTTGAATGCGACAGCCTCCTGAAACATCTGGGACATGTCCTGGACAGATGAAGTGTTCCAGCTGCTAATGTCTTGGTTGAAGGCTGCCGCCGTGTGGAACATGCTAGACATGGATCGCACAGCAGAGGTGTCCCAACTGCTGATGTTCTTGTTGAAGTCCGAAGCTTGGTAGAACATCCACGACATGTCCTCAACTGCCGATGTGACCCACTTGCTGATGTCTCGGTTGAAGCTGGTCGCACCTCCAAACATCCCAGTCATCACCCGGGCAGCCGACGTGTCCCAGTTTCCGATGTCTTGGTTGAAGTCTGAGGCGAATGCGAACATGCTGTGCATGTCCTGGACTGCTGATGTGTTCCAGCTGCTGATGTTCTGGTCAAAGCGGCTTGCGAAAGCGAACATCCACCGCATGTTCGTAGCAGCTGATGTGTCCCAGTGGCCTATGTGCTGGTTGAACTTCATCGCATATCCAAACAACGCAGCCATGTCCTTGACAGATGATACATCCCAATTGCCAATGTCTTGGTTGAAAGACTCTGCTCCAAGAAACATGCCGGCCATGTCCCGAACAGCTGACACGCGCCATTGGCCGATATCCTGATTGAAGCGGCTGGCTGCGGCGAACATGCCCCGCATGTCCCTGACAGCCGATGTGTCCCATAGGCCAATGTCTTGATTGAAACTCGCCGCTTCTTTGAACATGTCATGCATATCCTGCACGCCTGACGTGTCCCACATGCCGATGTTCTCGTTGAAGCTCCTTGCACCGTAGAACATCGCCGACATATTCCGGACAGCTGACGTGTTCCAACTACTGATGTTCTGGTTGAAGCTGGCGGCCCTCTTGAACATGCCCGCCATGCTTGTCACGTGAGAGGTGTCCCATGCAGAGATGGACGCGAGCTGGCAGGGTCCCAGATCTGCGAAGAGGAAGCTCATGTCCGTGACCTGCGAGACCTGCCAGTCACTCAGTCGTCCGTAGAGCTCCTCCACATGGCTCCTCACCACGCCGTCCTGCTCTTATGGCGCACATGAACTCACGAGGAACGACAAGGAGCAACTATATCACAACTACATCACGTCACTACATGCCATCACCCTTTCTCCTGGCACCACATCTTGACGCTTTGGCGCAGCTCCACACCGCTCTGAAACGGCCGCGCCTGTACCAAGGGGATGGAAGCCAGCATTGAAAACACGGCGGGCGCCCAACCCACCGGGCTCATCATGGGCTCCAAAGGCGGCCGTGGGGCCCAAGGCGGCCAAGGTCTACAGCTACCCAAACTGACAGGTGTGATCGTGGGCTGAATCAGCTCAAACGCTTTGTGGCTTCATGTGGCTTCTGCGCCTTTCGCGTACGAAAAAGGCTATTTGGGGCTTTCGTAGAGCAGCCTGAAAATCTCGCGGCGGCTCGGAATGCGCAAGGAAGCCTATGCACCCAACACCTTGACCCCCATCCCTGAGCCTGTATTCAACCCTGCAGCATCAACCCTTGGGTAAACCCTAAACCCCTAAACCCCTAAACCCTAAACCCTAAACCCTAAACCCTAAACCCTAAACCCTAAACCCTAAACCCTAAACCTTTCTGAAACCCTAAGCCCTCAACCCGCTTTGAACCCTGAACTCTCAACCCCCCTGAACTCTCAAGAACCCACTTCTAAGCCCCTTAGGTAACCTGATAGGGTTTTCATTGGGTTAGAAGTACCGTTGTGTGAGTGAGTGAGCGAGCGAGCGAGCGAGAGTAGTTAAGCGGCCCCCTCAGGGGCTCTGGCAGGCAGAGGAGGGTGGGACCAAGGAGTCGATGGCATCCACGTAAGCAACTTGCACCCAGCAGTGAGCGGCCAAGTGTCGGCACAACGCAAAGCACAGTGCGCGCGCAGTCACACGCATAGACGCCTTCTAGGTGGTAGCCAGCGTCTGTCGCCCGAATGCTACCTGGCCTCCAGAGCACAGTTGCACTTCGCGCAGGAGAAGATCATCGACTCGCGCTTTGATGCATGCCAGGATTTTCAGGCTGAAGATATGGAGCGAAGTCAGGCTGGCGTCCAGCCGCTGAAGAGAGATGCCAGGAGCTTGCCAGAGCCCGCCGGCTCGCCCTCTGCGTGAACCCGGAGCCCTGCGCTGCGACAGCAATGGGCAACTGCATCTAGGCGATGGGGTCTCGCATGTGGTCGAGAAGAAGACGAGATGTCTTCTACAAGCGACCACGAGCAGTCCTAGTCCACACTGTGCAGGAGGCCAAGTCCGTGGCTAGGTCGGAGATGCAAGGTGACGGCACCACGGGCAAGGGCTGGGCATGGGGATTCCTCTTCAACAAAATTGGGGGGCTGTGAAGGAGTGCATCTGAAACACCTGCAGCAGTAGGGGGAAGGATGAGAGCCCCCATTCCGGGCCGTGTTCTGTGAGGAAAGGGACTCCACGGCTTGGAAAGCAAGCTTGATGCACACCGTTTATAGCAGATGATGCGGGAAGAAGGGGCTACCGGCTCAGTTGACGCACAGTAGAGGAACTGGACCCTGCAGCCACTCGGGAAGCGTCTAGCCCGGCACACTCACTCTCAGACTCTCAGACTCTCAGACTCCCACACTCTCACACTCTCACTTCGATCGACACCCATATTTTCGCTCTTGAATGTGTTTGTAGCACCTGAAGAGGAAGCTGCCGGGAAAATGGGGCTCAAGGGTTTGAGATTCAAGGTGGAAGGTTTGGGGTTGAGGGAGTTTAGGGCCCTGAGATACCCTACAACCCTAGTCAGAGCCAACTAGCAACATAGGTACGGGATCATCTATGTTTAGGGTTTAGGGTTTAGGGTTTAGGGTTTGGGGTGTGGGGTTTGGGGTTTAGGGTTTAGGGTTTTCAGATCTTCCCCTCACCCAACCCCTCCCCCCTTGGGCGCCCCGGCGTTTGTCGGCAAAAGATGTTGTAGGCCATCGCCCTCGAGATTTGGACTCAGATCGCCTAAGCCAAAACCCTGAACCCCAAGCCCGGAGCCCCCCCAAAAAAACTTCTCAAGACCCTTAACCCTGCCCCTTGAAACCCTGAAAGCCCTAAACGCCTAAAACCTAAAGAACCTACAAACCCTAACACCCTTAAAACCCTGACCCCTAAAAACCCTCAAACCCGAAACCAGGATGTGTTGGTCATGGGCCTTTGCCTTCGAAATTTCTGGTCGGCATACGACTCTCCCCATCGAACCATATTCAACACGCTCTTCACATAGATGTAGGTGTGTATGTATATATATAGGTATATATATATATACATAGATAGATAGATGTGGTCCCCTTTTGGGATATATTAAGGGCCGCCGCAGAACAGTAACCCCAAAGTGGACCATAGTTTCGAGCTTCAAGTGAGTATGTAAGCATACAAGCAGTGCTCCTGCTCCTACTTCTGAGGGCGGATCAAGACGACAAAACTGAACCTTCAAGACACTGGTGCTTGAAGAAAACACATACTCTTTATACTGAAAATACTAATATACATATATATATATATATGCTCATATATATATACATATACATATATACAAACAAGAAGAATGCCCTAGGTTTACGCTTGAGGGTGTTTGGGGTTTAGGTTTCAGGGTTTCAGGGTTTAGGGTTTTTAGGGCATTGGGGAGACCCTGTTCCGAACCCTACAGCCCCGGCCTGGGGACCAGCATCGGGATGCAGAAGGCCCCCCGGTGTCCAGAACTGTTCGCCTCGCCCCATTCCTAGGCTGCTCTTCAAGAACTTGCATCAAGTTACCATAAGGGTTTAGTGTTTAGTGTTTAGTGTTTAGTGTTTAGGGTTTAGGGTTTAGGGTTTAGGGTTTAGGGTTTAGGGTTTAGGGTTTCGGGTTTGGGGTTTGGGGTTTAGGGTTTAGGGCTTGGCGGTTTAAGCACGGCATTACAGCATAGCAACGAAATCCAAGTAGCATAAGGGCTTTGGGTGTTTAAGGTTCGGTGTTTAGGGCTTACGGTTGCAGAATTGAGGGTTTGGGGTTTGGGGTTTCGGGTTTGGTGGTTTATGGTTTCGGGAGGGTTTGGGGCTTCCGGTTTTGGGGTGTTGGAGCTATAGGGTAGAAAGTTCAGCTAACATAACACCGACACGCAGCAGACAGTTTGGCCTTGTTCACATGGTACAATGACCACTGAGTCGTAAACCGTTCTAACGGAAGTTACATGGTCCCTTAATATGGCCCCTTACCGCCTTTACAGGGTTCTGAAGCATGGGCCCGTGGGTTGTACAGGGTATATAAGGGAGCAATGTAACTATTTTAAGAGAATCGACAGTTTTAGGAGTTTTAGGAGCTTTAGGGGTTTAGGGTTTTAGGGTTTTAGGGTTTTAGTGCTGTTTGGGGCATTTTAGGGCTTTAGGGCTGTTTGGGGCCTTTTTAGGGCTTTAGGGTTTAGGAACGCTATCCTTAACAGTAACCCAGATTCTGCTCGGACTCGCTGCGCTTCAGGGTCGTCCGCGCCGCCTCCAGTATCCCTTGATGAAGGAGCACTCACCCCAAGCCCTAAAGCCCTAAGCTCCAAACCCTAAAGCCCAGAACGCCAAAACTCTACACCACGACTAGGATTTGGGTTGTAGGGTTGAGGGTTGAGGGTTGAGGGTTGAGGGTTGAGGGTTGAGGGTTGAGGGTTGAGGGTTGAGGGTTTAGGGTTTAGGGTTTAGGGTTTAGATGGTTTAGGGTGTAGGGTTTAGGGTTTAGGGTTTAGGGTTTAGGGTTTAGGGTTTTGGGTTTAGGGTTTCGGGCCCAAAGCCCCAAACTGTCAGAACTCCGCGTTTGGGCAAAGTCTGGGCCCAAAACTTTTCACCCGGTAAGAAGCCCTGAAAAGGGTTCAGGGTTTGGGGTTTAGGGTTTAGGGTTTAGGGTTTAGGGTTTAGGGTTTAGGGTTTAGGGTTTAGGGTTTAGGGTTTAGGGGTCACTTCCTTTTTTAGAAAGCGCAAACTTCCCACCCCCCACCGCGCAAACTAAGGATCACACGGAAGGGACTGTCATTGCTGTAGTTGTTGAGGAGAACGCGTACACGTAGCCGCCAGACCTGCGTCTTTTTGGTTTAGGGCTTTTGGGCGTACAAGGGCGTCGGGCTTTAGCGTTTAAGGGCTTCGGGCTTAGGCGCTTAAGGGCTGAGGACCTAGGGCTTTGGGTTTAGGATGCAAGGTTTAAGGCTTCGGGCTATAGCGCGCACAGGTAGCACATGTAACGCAGCTGGGCCACCGCGGGCTCGTGCTGAGAAGCATACACCCCTTTGCCGAAGTGAGCGCGGCTGTCCACCAGCGATGCGAAAAGCTCGGCGGAGGACTGCTCGAGGTTTGCTACGTTCCTGGGGTGGCGATGTTAGGGCCAGGGTTTAGGGTTCGGGTTTAGGGTTTAGGGTTTCGGGTTTAGGGCTTTAGGGCTTTAGGGCTTTAGGGCTTTAGGGCTTTAGGGCTTTAGGGCTTTAGGGCTTTAGGGCTTTAGGGCTTTAGGGCTTTAGGGCTTTAGGGCTTTAGGGCTTTAGGGCTTTAGGGCTTAGGGTTTAGGGGGTTGTGCGAAGGGAAGCTGAACTGAGGCACCATAAACCCGGACGCCTCCCTCACACATGCTTGGGGCGGATGGCATCTTAGCTTAAGCTCCATAACAGCAACCCGGCTTCTCGAAGGCCAGGTTGTTGGTGTAGTGGTAGAGCACTGAACACTCACCGTCGTCCGAGAACTTCCGGAGGTCGAACAAGTGCTGCCAGACGTGAACAGGCCCGTCGCTCGCATCGAACCTGATATGGGAGTTTACGAAAATGAGGGGGCCCCGAAATTGACCCCCAAATAGTAGGTTTCCCTTATAAGGACCCCAAGAAGGTACCCCTAATTTTGGAAAACCCCCATATCAGGTAACCACTGAACCCTGCTTATGTCAACCGTCAAGGACTATTTCTCGGATTTCGTTGAGCTAGGCACCCAGCTCAGGGTCCAGCGCACCCAAAGAAATGCAAGGGTTTAGGGCTCAAGTTTCCGGGCCTATACCCTTAGGTTGAGGGTTAAGGGTTTAGGGTTTAGGGTTCTTCAACCTTAAACCCTTGGCATTACAGGAAGGTGCGCGTAGTTTCCCTTGCCACGCAGCCCTCCAGAGAAGACCCAGCGTGGCCATGTTTAAGGCCCGCGACATAGATCTTGCAGGGTGCCGCTCCTGGCAGGCCTGCTTTGCAACTGCTAGTCCTGTGGTTCCTACATTGGCTGCCTGCGCGTGAGTTTTGGGCAGTGCCCATCTCAGGCCGGCCGGGAAAGTTTGTGGTGCCTCCTGTACGCATCGCACAATGCAGTCAAAAGGGGGTATGAAGGCCGGTGACAACAACTACGCGAAGTTCCTTGCAGCCGGAGCAAGTGGAGAGAGTCCCCGGCTGATTCGAGCACCCTTCCTCCGTTTCTGCGCGGGCTGCTCGTGCACAGTGCACATGGCGTGGTCGACCCTTGTGCTCGAACACTACATATCGGCACCGATATTTGTCTGCGCATGGGTGAGGGCGCGGCTTCTAAGGCATTGAGCACACGATGGCAAACGACAGCCCTGCCTACGGGTGAACCCTCGTTGCCAAGGTCTCCGCCCCCACCACTGTTTTGGCAGCTGCTACTTGGGTCCCAGGGCGAACCCTTTCGAGCTCGCCTCCACGGAGTGTGTCTTGACAGACGCATCACCACAAGCACAGCCACACAGGTTTAGGGTTTAGGGTTTGGGGTTTGGGGTTTAGGTTCTAGGGTTTAGGGTTTAAGGGATTTGTTGAGCGATTCCTTGAAAGGTGGCAAGCTCGTGCAGCTTCTGACTGCAGCCACCGGAGGAAACTGATTCTAAGTAGTTTTTGTTCTGAGCCGTACCGGCCTTCGACCAAACTTGCCCGCAACCTCCTAAATCCTTGAACCCTGGAACCTCCTGAACCTCCTAAACCTCCTGAACCTCCTAAACCCTCAACCCTCAACCCTCAACCCTCAACCCTAAACCCTCAACCCTCAACCCTCAACCCTCAACCCTAAACCCTAAACCCTAAACCCTAAACCCTAAACCCTAAACCCTAAACCCTAAACCCTAAACCCTAAACCCCAATCCCAAAGGAGAGCCTGAAGGTCGGAAGCTCCCCGACGTGGTCGCAGGCGTAGGTGCTCGAGCCGCCAAAAAGCTCGCCTCGCCTTCTTTGATGCTGCTTAGGGTTTGGGGTTTGGGGTTTGGGGTTTGGGGTTTAGGGTTTAGGGTTTAGGGCTGGGGTTTGGGGTTTGGGGTTTGGGGTTTGGGGTTTGGGGTTTGGGGTTTGGGGGTTAGGGGTTGGGGGTTTAAAGGGTTTAAGGGTTTCAGGGTTTACGGGTTTCAGGGTTTAAGGGTTGGAGTTGAGGGGTTGGGGTTTAGGGGTTTAGGGCTAGGGTTTGGGGTTTAGAGGGATTTTGGGATTGGGGCGTAGCGTCTTAGGAGTTTGGGGCTTTAGGGTCTAAAGGCCTTTAGTGTTCAGTGCTTAAGGACTATAAGCAGAAGAAGAAACCCCTAAACCCTAAACCCTAAACCCTAAACCCTAAACCTTTTTAACGTACATCCTTAGAACCGAAAGGCCCCTGATGCCAACACCTCGTCTCTACAACGAAGGGGCACCTTTGCTGAACCATCCGAGAACCCGCAGAGACAAGGCAGACGAGTTGGGACGTTCCCCCACTTAGACTAACAGCTCCTTCATAGGGAATTATAATGGGGGGGGGGTACTAGATATTCCTTTTTTAAGGAGCTGTTAGTATAAGGGGAAGGAGGCAAAAGAGCCGAGACGCAGGTAGCCGCCGGCAAAATACTGCGACAGCTCTGCACGCGCCGGGGCCTCGTGGGGGGACGTCGCGTTTTTGAAGCTCGCAGCCCTGAAATCCAACCCAAAACCGCTTCAAACCCGCCAAACCGCAGCAAAGCCCAAAACCCTCCTAGACCCTAGCCCTAAACCCTAAACCCTAAACCCTAAACCCTAAACCCTAAACCCTAAACCCTAAACCCTAAACCCTAAACCCTAAGCCCTAAACCCACCTAAACCCTCCTAAACGCTGCACAACCTTTGACGGCCTCCTCCGCGCGGACTTTGCGGGCGTGGGCCGGGCACCGGGAGCTTGCGAGCAGCGTCGGGCGCCCCGCGGGCGTCTTGCGCACGGGGGGGAGGGGGGGGGGGGTCAGGGTTTAGGGTTCAGGGGCTTAGGCTTTAGGGTTTGGGGGCTTAGGGTTTGGGGGCTTAGGGTTTGGGGGCTTAGGGTTTAGGGTTTAGGGTTTAGGGTTTAGGGTTTAGGGTTTAGGGTTTCGGGTTTAGGGTCTAGGGTCTAGGGTTTAGGGTTTAGGGTTTAGGGTTTAGGGCATCTTCAAGGTGCAGGGTTTTCCGGTTCTTTTTCGGGGTTCTGTGGGGTCGTGTTATTCGGGTCTTGGGCATCTTTTTTTTAAGGTTTGTTTTTGGGCTTTTATGTTATTTTGTGAGGGGCTTTGGGATTGTCTCTTAAAAAAAATTATAGATATCTGAGAAACCCTACACCTTTCTTCATATGTACATAAACCTTAATGGCCCAAGTCGGCCGCAAATTTGCCGAAATAGTCGGCATTTGTCTAATTAGCCGGCAAATTTGCCTAAGAAAGGCGGCCACGGCACATTTGCCTGAATAGTCGGCGCTTGCCCCTGAATAAACTAAAACGTCGGTGGCCACGGCAAATTTGCCTAATTCGGCAAAATTTTGCCGCGGTGCCCCCAAAGCCTGCGGTTTTAGGGATCTCGTACTGTTCTGGGAGCCACAAGGGGGGTGGACATTCGATACCAGGCTGCCCTAAGCCCTAATGCTGAACCCCAAAAGAACCTAAACCCCCTAAACTTTAAACCTAAACCCTAAACCCCGAAGCCCCCCTAAACCCTAAACACGAAATCTTAAACCCTAAACCCCTAAACCTTAAACCCTGAAGCCTAAACGCCCCTAAACCCTCAACCCTAAACCCTAAACCCCCTAAACCCTAAACCCACGGATGTGAAAGCCCCGTGTCAAGGCCTCCGGCTCCAAGGGCGTGAAGGCCTCGCAATGGTTGGCTTCGAAATGCCCGCAACGCGGATCATACTTAGGGTGTAAGGTTGAGGGTTTAGGGTTTGGGGTTTAGGGTTTAGGGTATAGGGTTTAGGGTTTAGGGTTTAGGGTTTAGCGTCTAGGGTTTAGGGTTTAGGGTTTAGGGTTTCGGTAGGATCTAGTCCCTTCTTCCGAGTATTCAAACCCCCCCCTAAACGCGGGGAGGCTAATATTGGAGGGAGGGGACGACACAAGGGTCATTCCAAATCAACCCACAATGGTATTCACAATGGTAGCCACACCAAGAAGCATGCCACTAGTCAGATCAGCCGACACATATAAAATATGCTGACAGTCATGATAATTATCCTCATCATTGAGTTCACGCAGAACGCATATGGCCTTAGGGCCTGTCCGTTGGGGATTTTTTGGTTCCTCGGAATCTGGGAGGCGACCCAGGATGGTTCAGGCTTGGGTCCCATTTCTGGCACATGGGGCGCACAGAACTGAGAGCGAAGAAACATGGTTCCCAGAATGACTATGCTTATACGCATCAGCAAAAGACGCATCGGGATTCACGCGACTCTCGGGACTCAAACACTCTCAGAGCGGTAGGACAGGCTTCGAGGTGGATACCCCTACAGCCTGAACCCTCAACTCTAAGGGTAGTTACACGGTCCCTTGGCATGGGCCCTTAAACGGGTACCCCTTACGTACCCCTTATATACCCGATACAAATTAGAGGAGACTACTCAGCACGCGGCGCAGCAACCCATGGCCAGCGCGCGGTGGCTCTTGCGTGGCTTGTGGCTCGGACTATGTGTTTAGGAGTTGAGGACTTAGGGTGTAGGTTGGCATGTTCCCTGATACTGATAGTACTAACAGTCCTTAATCGCGATGATAATAAGGTGTACGAAAATCACTATTCAGGACTGCTAGCAAAAGGGGAACATCCCAAGGTGTAAGGCTCAGGGTTATGGGTTCAGGAGGGTTCACAACATACCAAGAGCCATCACGCTGCGGTTCAGCAAGCCTGCCGCAGGGGTTCTCCAAGAGGATCCGGTAGCTATGGTAGCTCCCAAGACTGGTCCCAAGACTTCATGGTCTTTACCCCCCCCCAAACTAACAGCAAAGAGCAACTATCATGCTCCGATCCGAGTCAGAATAGTGCGAGGAATCACTTCTTGCGGGGGGACCCAGGGTTGCAGGCGTTGTATCATCTTCGTTTCAAAGCCACCGGGGATCGACATGCCCTTCATATGTTTAGGGCGGTAGACTGCCAAGCGCCACGGGCTACGGTTGAGGGCTGACGGCTGATGCATCAGGGTTTAGGGCTTGGGGCCTAAGGTTCAAAGTTTAGGGTTTTTAGGGTTTAGGGTTTAGGGTTTAGGGTTTAGGGTTTAGGGTTTAGGGTTTTTTTAGGGTTTAGGGTTTAGGGTTTAGGGTTTAGGGTTTAGGGTTTAGGGTTTAGGGTTTAGGGTTTAGGGTTACACAACCCGAACCCCCCAAAGCCTACACTTCAAGCCCGGACAAATCCGAAACCCCTAAAGATTGCTCCACGCGCCCTGGAAACCTGTTTCGGGGGCTTCGGGCTCTTCATGGCCTAATCGGCTCAACATTCTTTTCAGGGTGCTTAAGGGAGGGGAATTCACAGGGGTTTGCAACCCAAGGTTCCTAAATACTCCACACTACTCCCTAAGGCTCCCTAAGCTTCCCTGAGGTCGCCAAAACATCCCCTAGGTACCTGCCCGGGGAAGTGCCTCGGACCAAAAGCAAACACTAGAAAAGCCATAACAATCATAAACAGTCGCAATCATCATCGTCCTAACCATCATGGTCAAAAGCATCATAGTCACAATCATATTCACTTTAATCATGAAGTCTTTTTGCATTCGAAAACCATTTTTAGGAAGATGGCTCACGGGCCGATGCCTGCAAGAATAATGTTGACCAAAGATGGGGGGTGTGACCTAAACCCGAAACGCAGGCGCAGCGGCAACTTGCATTAGGTGCTCACAAGAGCCCCAAGAACACTCCTTATCATCATCATCATCATCATCATCATCATCATCATCATCATAACCATCATCATCATCACCATCATCATCATCACCATCACAGGAATGGTGGAGAACAAAATAATCATCATAACAATAGGCAGAACCATAACACTCATAGAACAGGTATAAAAGAGACTATCGAGCAGATTGTCAGCAACTCGGCTGGAAGGACACGGACGGGATGCTTCCCCACACCTTTTGCAAAGACGCACTGGTTTGCGGACTGTACTCCACGCCATCATGACATGCAGCGCGAGCTGCTTGTAGGAAAAGACCATGTGGGGGTTTACGAAAAGAAGGGATAGACCCCCAAATAATCGGACTCCCTTATAATAAGGACCTCAATAAAGCACCTCCGATTTCGAAGAACCCCCATGTGCCTCGGGTACCGGTTCATGTGCAGCGCGCACTGGAAACCTCCGGTTTCGAGGCTGCCCTGGACAGCTCCTGAACAACACGCAGTTTGTCTGAAAAAGCTTCGCTTGGAAACGTCTCTTGGCATTTCCGAGCATAGGCTGGCTAAGGGTATGCCCATGCCAATCTCGAAGGTTCGCGGGCCTGGACATGTATGCCCTTGTTAGGCCTTCTGGCTTAGGGAAGCACCTCTGCATCTTCGGGTGTAGGGGTTTAGGATTTAGGGTTCAGGGTTTTGGGTGTAGGGCAGCGTCTTCTGCAGAACTGGCGCTTTATGATCCCCCTTCTGCTCAGCGCCAGGCCCGCGAAGAGGACTCCTACCTTGCAAAACTCTGGGAATACACCGCGCCTGCTTCTGAAGGCGGTGCACTAAAACCTAATCCACACTGCGTAGCGCAGAAAGAACGGCACCCTCCGAAGAAGGAATATATACATGTGGGGACATCCCTTGATCTATGACAGATGCTTTCGGGAGTCCTAGGCAGTATGCACTCAGAGACCCCCAGCCAACCCCCAGGAAAGATCGGGGTTCCGGAGTGAGAGAGGCCAGGATAGGGAGGAGCTCCACCAGGCCAACAGATCAGGCCCGGATCATCTTTCCGGGCTTCGTTCTTTCTATTGTTCTTTCCTTGTTTGATCCTACGTCAACTTCGACATGTGCTTTTTTCCATGCCCTATAAAACCCTAAACCCCGAACCCGGAACCCTAAACCCCAAAAACCCAAAACCCCAAAACCCAAAACCCTAAACCCTAAACCCTAAACCAAAGAGATGGGGGGGTTGCTTGGGGCTCCATGAAGCACAGGCTGCAAGAGGCGGAGCCAATGCGATGGAGTCAGGCTCTCCCGAACTGATCTGACTGTTTAGGGTTTAGGGTTTAGGGTTTAGGGTTTAGGGTTTAGGGTTTAGGGTTTAGGGTGTGGGGTTTAGGGTCTAGGGTTTAGGGTTTAGGGTTTAGGGTTTAGGGGAGGTTCGGGTTAAAGGTTTAGGCGTTGGGGTCTGGGGTCTAGGCTTTAAGGCGCGCGGCCTCTGACTCCGGCCAGGCTTGGCAAAAGACTCCGTAGAGCGATGCTGCATTCCGGGGTGTCGAGTGTGCTTTACCCGAAGCCTTAAACCTAATTACACTCTGCACGGCATACGGGATGTTGAGGGGGTCCCTAAACCTTAAACCCTAAACCGTAAACCCTAAACCCTAAACCCTAAAACCTTCGGCAAAAGCCCAGAGTGCAGCACGCACGAAAAGTCAGAGGCGACTTCCCGACGGACGACAGGGTGCTTACAGCCCTGCGCATCACACGAACGGTCTAGGGTTTAGGGTTTTGGGTTTAGGGTTTAGGGTCTGGGGTTTAGGGTTTAGGGTTCGGGGTTTAGGGTTCAGGGTTTAGGGTTTAGGGTTTAGGGTTTTGGAGTTTAGGGTTTTGGGGTGTAGGGTTTAGGACCTCCAAGTGAAGGCATGGCCCAAGCTACCTCCTCAACCAGGGTGCTAGGGTTGTAGAGGTTAGGGCCAGGGTCAATAGGGATTAGGGTGCAGGGTTTAGGGTTTAGAGCTTAGGGTCTACAGGCTTCGGGCCCTTTAAGGGGTCAGTCAGGGGTTAGAGTTTAGGGTTTAGGGTTCAAGGTTACAAGCACCCCTAAATTAATAAGCGAATAACCAGAGTTACCCTAGATCTAAGTGTTCTTGTAAGCACCTATGAACCTCCAAGTAAACATGTACACTGGCGTACTTATGAGGGCAGCGCCACACCTGACTAGCATATAGGGTTTAGGGTTTAGGGTTTTAGGGTGTAGGGTTAAGGGTTCTACATGAACCGGGAGAGGAGGGTGGGGGGGGGGGGTCTCTGCTCTAAAAGGCAGATGCGCGTTAGATTGCAACTCCGAAACCATAAACCCACAAACATCACTCTAAACCCTAAACCCTAAACCCTTAAACCTTAGACCTTAAACCTTTAACCCTTAAACCCTAAACCCTTAAACCTTAAACCTTAAACCCTAAAGCCTAAACCCTACAGGGTGTTCGGGTTTCAAGTTGGAATGGATGTTCAGGACTCGCACCGTGGAAAAGAGGCGTGAAGGGCTGTCGGATGCGTGGGAGCTCGCAAAGTCGTTTATATAGGAAAGGGGCCTACCGAGTTGGTTAGGGTTTTGGGTTCAGGGGCTAAACCCTAAACCCTGACCCTAAACCCTAAACCCTAAACCCTAAACACTAAATCCTAAACCCTAAACCCTAAACCCTAAACCTAAACCCTTTAGCTTAGCCTTTGGATGCTTTAGGGAAATTTCAGGATGGCTCGAAAACTGCCCTCCCACCGTCGGATTTGGAGCCACGGCTTCGGCCGCGCAAGAGTGCCAGGGCTCTTAGTGGGGTTTAGGGTTTAGGGTTTAGGGTTTAGGGTTTAGGGTTTAGGATTTAGGGTTTAGGGTTTAGGGTTTAGGGTTTGGGGTTTAGGGTTTAGTGTGTTACAAGTAGTAGTGTTTAGGGCTAGGGCTTAGGGTTTTGGGTTTTGGGTTTTGGGTTTTGGGTTTTGGGATTTGGCCTCAGGGTTCAGGGTGGTAGACACTTCAAGTGCCAGTCGAGGCAAGAGTGTCATGCCTCGGTGTTCACCAGCAGGCAACATCGAGGGACGATGAGCACAGCCAAGCATCGCCGAAATGTTCAGACTCGATTGAAACATCTGAGGTGTTCCACTGGCCGATGTCCTGGTTGAACTGGAGCGCCTCGAAAAACATGCCGGAGATGTCCTGGACAGCTGATGTCTTCCACTTGCCCAGGTCTTGGTTGAAGCTGCGCGCGCGATCGAACATGTGGCTCATGTTCCGGACAGCTGACGTGTCCCAGTTCCCGATGTCTTTGTTGAATGCGACAGCCTCCTGAAACATCTGGGACATGTCCTGGACAGATGAGGTGTTCCAGCTGCTGATGTCTTGGTTGAAGGCTGCCGCCATGTGGAACATGCTAGACATGGATCGCACAGCAGACGTGTTCCAGCTGCTGATGTTCTTGTTGAAGTCCGAAGCTTGGTAGAACATCCACGACATATCCTCAACTGCCGATGTGACCCACTGGCTGATATCTCGGTTGAAGCTGGTCGCACCTCCGAACATCCCAGTCATGCCCCGGACAGCCGACGTGTCCCAGTTTCCGATGTCCTGGTTGAAGTCTGAGGCGAATGCGAACATGCTGTGCATGTCCTGGACTGCTGACGTGTTCCAGCTGCTGATGTTCTGGTCAAAGCGGCTTGCGAAAGCGAACATCCACCGCATGTTCGTAACAGCTGATGTGTCCCAGTGGCCTATGTGCTGGTTGAACTTCGTCGCATAACCAAACAACGCAGACATGTCCTTGACAGATGATACATCCCACTTGCCAATGTCTTGGTTGAAAGACTCTGCTCCAAGAAACATGCCAGCCATGTCCCGAACAGCTGATACGCGCCATTGGCCGACATCCTGATTGAAGCGGCTGGCTGCGGCGAACATGCCCCGCATGTCCTTGACAGCCGATGTGTCCCACGGGCCAATGTCTTGATTGAAACTCGCGCCTTCTTTGAACATGTCATGCATATCCTGCACGCCTGACGTGTCCCACATGCCGATGTTCTCGTTGAAGCTCCTTGCACCGTAAAACATCGCCGACATATTCCGGACAGCTGACGTGTTCCAACCACTGATGTTCTGGTTGAAGCTGGCGGCCCTCTTGAACATGCCCGCCATGCTTGTCACGTGAGAGGTGTCCCATGCAGAGATGGACGCGAGCTGGCAGAATCCCAGATCTGCGAAGAGGAAGCTCATGTCCGTGACCTGCGAGACCTGCCAGTCACTCAGTCCGCCGTAGAGCTCCTCCACATGGCTCCTCACCAAGCCGTCCTGCTCTTATGGCGCACATGAACTCACGAGGAACGACCAGGCGCTTCGTCAACAACTACGTCACGACATCACGTCACAACTACATCCCGTCACCCCTCCTGGCACCACATCTTGACGCTTTGGCGCAGCTCCACACCGCTCTGAAACGGCCGCGCCTGTACCAAGGGGATGGAAGCCAGCATTGAAAACATGGCGGGCGCCCAACCCACCGAGCTCATCATGGGCTCCAAAGGCGGCCGTGGCCCAAGGCGGCCAAGGTCTCTGGAGCTTCAGGGGTTTAGGGTTTCGGGTTTAGGGTTTAGGGTTTAGGGTTCAGGGTTTAGGGTTTAGGGTTTGTATGCGAAGGTGTGGGAGTGGTTGTCGCCAGGGCAGAATTGACTTGGGCTTCGTTGGATTGATTGAGGAACGGCTCAGGACGCACAGCTTTCTTCACAGTCAACCATTGGCACCACGTGTTTCTGGGAAGAACCATGAGAAGCGTGTGCTTTCTTGCTTCTATGAGGGAAGTTCAGCTGCTGACAAGAAAAATCCACCGTTAAGTTTTCTGATCTGCTCTCTTTGCTTGAGAAAAATAGGGGTACCTTTAATACACCCCCCAAATATGTGCTGTACTGCAGAAGCCCCCGCAAAAGTATTGGCTTATGGTGTGTGTGTGTATGCATGTACATATATATATATGCCAACAGAGCCTCCTATGATCCACAAAGCCTTGGTTCCAAAAGCAACACTATCAGTAAGGCTGTCCCCAACAAATCAATCGCATTAAATCAAGTTAACATCTTAAGGGGTGCGCAGTGTTCTTGCGCTATCACGGCAGGAACATCAATGGGTCGGCTCCCAAACATATGAGCGTACTGCATGGCAGCTGCAGCAAGGGGAACTCTGCAGAGACTCTAGCATGAGACCATCAGACCGGTTTCTTCCAAGCGCTTGCCCTCGCGGCTCTCTTCTGCCCCAGCTTCTCCTCCTTACGTTCTTTCCTTTTGAGCCTTGCAGTGCTCGCTTCTCCTCTGGTGCGACTGTTGTCCACAGAGTGAAAGACGAAGGCAGGGTAGTGGGAGTCCGTGTCATACATGCGGATTCGCAAGTCTCTATGGTCGAAAGGGATGTGGCCGTGCGCCTTCGCAATTTCCCAACAGTTCTGTTGCGACTGGCTGCAAGTTGTTCCTCTGAATGAATATCCTCAGTTCATCCGACAACTGGCCCAAACCTTGATTCAGGTCAAGACCTAAAATGTCGCAAGAAGCCTCCACTGCCGCGGCAAATAACTGCTGCAGCAGATCTCTGGTTCGTCCTCTCTTTTCACGTGCCACCATGTTATTTAGGTGAGCAGACCCCACGACAAGATGCTGCAAAGGCCACCCCTCTGGAACTCTTAGGTCGAACTTGCCGAAGATCCCCCTCAAGGCCCACTGCCCCGACGGTAGGTCTTCAGTCACTGCCTGAACCAACTGCCCGCTCCGAGCCAGAAAATCCTCGGGCATTGCAACTGCCAATCCTGATTCTGCGACAGCGACGACACTGTATTCCAAGCTCTCCAACCGTTGCAAATCCATGAGGTCGCACTCCTGCATGGCTAAGTATGACCACGTGCCTGCAAGGAAGGCTGAGGTGTCGATTCCCTAAACCCTAAACCCTAAACCCGAAACCCTAAACCCTAAACCCTAAACCTTAAACCCGAAACCCACTCCTGCATGGCTAAGTATGACCACGTGCCTGCGAGGAAGGCTGAGATGTCGATTCCCTGGCGCACCGCGCCGGCGTTCCAGCATAAGCCGGATATCCGATTGTGCAGTCGCCGTGGATGAATCTGATGTCTCACCGCCTGCTCCGTGTAGTCAAAGCGGTACACTTCGCCGACTCCTGCCGCCTCGACCTCCGTGACCTCCGCAGTGGACGGCCGCTGAAAAATTTGCGACAAGGGCTGCTCTTCCTTTGCCAGATGTTGCGCCTGAAGGGGCCACTCCTCCGTGGGCCCCTTCAAACCGCGCTTGCGCTCCTTCCTTGTCCACGTCAGATCCATTTGCAAAGGCGGGTTAGCAAAAATCGCGGCGAAGAACTCATCCTCATTCCCCTGCGCAGCCATTCGCACAGCCTGCGGCGAATACGCAGACAGAATGACATCTTGTGTCAATGGCTTTGTCCGTCCCAGGGCATGAAAATGCGTCTCCTCGTGCAACATCGGACGTGGCTCAGGCAAATGCGGCCAATCAACCACTCTTTCTGGATACATGCGGTCCAATGCGTTCCAAGTCGACATGTATAATCGCGACACAGTCTTGGACACCCGATTGCCTCTTTGCATATCGAGTTGCTGGTACACCCAACTGGTTCCAAAGTCGCTTGCGTAGCGGAACCCTGCCCCAAATTGCGCCGCGGCGGCACGCGTCAAGTCTTCCAGACGGTCCTCCATGGCTGAGTCGCGCTGAAAGGAAAATCCCCTCACGCTTCACAAGAATGGTGCCTGTTCTTTTGCGACTCATACGAAACAATGGTTTACCAATCTTTATGGAGATCTTTCTGAATTAGCACGGGCTCCGCCAAGGGCGGGCGCAGGCCATCAGTTGGGTACCCTTTTTAAGATGCTTAAGGCAGTATAAGGGCCATGTTTGGAGTATATAAAAGGAGCCCTTAGGGGTACAACCTTAGGGATGCAAGTCTGAATCCCTTGAGGGTGCCTGATGTCGCAGCGGCGGACTATAAGTACCGTGAACTATGGTCTCAGCCTTGCTTGAGGCACAGACTGCACCACGACTCACCAACTCCCCACAAAAAGAACCCTGGGTCATAATGAAACAATGGTTTACCAATCCTTATAAAGATCTTTCTGAATTAGCACGGGCTCCGCCAAGGGCGGGCGCAGGCCATCAGTTGGGTACCCTTTTGAAGATGCTGAAGGCAGTATAAGGGCCATGTTTGGAATATATAAAGGGTCACCAACTCCCCAGAAAAAGGATCCTGGGTCATATGAAACAATGGTTTACCAATCTTTATAAAGATCTTTCTGAATTAGCACGGGCTCCGCCAAGGGCGGGCGCAGGCCATCAGTTGGGTACCCTTTTGAAGATGCTTAAGGCAGTATAAGGGCCATGTTTGGAATATATAAAGGGTCACCAACTCCCCAGAAAAAGGATCCTGGGTCATATGAAACAATGGTTTACCAATCTTTATAAAGATCTTTCTGAATTAGCACGGGCTCCGCCAAGGGCGGGCGCAGGCCATCAGTTAGGTATCTTTTTGAAGATGCTTAAGGCAGTATAAGTATAAGGGCCATGTTTGGAATATATCAAGGGTCACCAACTCCCCACGAACAAGACAAGAGTGACGGAACTGCGGGACTTGCGCAGTCCCGACGTGGACGCGCTTGGCGCCATGGTCTGAAACTTCGCGCTGCTTGAGAAGAGCTGGTACCGCTTGCAAGAAACTAACATGGCTTGGAAGCCTACTTGGCCCTTAACATGTTCGCCATCCTCATCTTCTTCTTTGCCGGACCACCCGAACCCGTGACGTCTACCGAACGCGCTGGAGGCGACAGCGGTAGTACCGGCGCCCGGCTTGAGGACGCCCCACCGTCCTGGACTTGCACACGCCCAGGCGGAAGGGGCACTGCCCTGTCCTGGTTGTTTTTCTTTGGTGCCATAGCAGTACAAGACTACCCCTACGACACGAGCACTACACCTCTGCCTCTGACAAACGCGCGACGCAGAGACTGCCAATATTTTTTTCCAATGCCCAGCTGCAACAGCTGTTCCGTGCTGGCTGAAACAGTCACAGCACGGCAAGCATTGAAAACGATCCTGTGTCGAAAAGGCTTTGACATCAAGGACTGAGACGCCAACCCTAGACCCTAAACATGCGAGACACCCTCACACTCACAGTCCAATATGCAAGAGCCTGGGCCACAGACATCAGTCATAGGTTTAGGGTTTAAGGTTTAGGGTTAAGGGCTTTGGGCGGGCGAGGGCCCCGGGAGCCCTGTCCGGGTGGTTTTCGCTTGCGAAACGACTGCAACGAAGGCACTTGTACGTTGTAGCAGCGATAAGTGCACTCTTGTGACACAGCCGGTGCCAACAAGATCTTTTTTTTAGCACGTTTCGCCTGAACTTTCTCCCCAACTCCCCAAACACGTATTGAAAGAGTATGGTCAGCGCGACCAAGGCCTAGCCTATCTTTCTGCATAATGATAGGCCGGGGCCTCACCCACAGTCCCAGTACATATGTACACATCCCTACTCAGACTCAGAGTGACCATCGTACAGCTGTTTCGCGTACTGAAACTGGCCAGATCGTCTGACGATGACGAAGAAAATGGATGTGGCCGCACGCACGAATGTTGGAACACATGAACTCACCGCACATCTGTTGAACCTGATCCAAGAGCTTGCGCTCTTGCTCACTACGGCTCTTCAAAGCTTCGAAGTTCTCATCATGCCGAAGGTCATCAAACTCAACATCATCATCGTCAGAGTCGCTTAGAATCCAACTGGGAGACTGCAAGACTAGCTCGACGCTTGTCGTGGGCAGCACAGATGGAAACAAGAACTCGAGCACTTGCCCCGAGCAGGAAGATGGTAGTGAAAGATAAGGCACTGTCATCCAGAATATGATGTCCTGGCGCTGTGCGTCGTGAAGTTCGATTTCTTGTAGTAGAACTCGGAGCCACGCTACGGTCTCTTGGCGAGTTCGTTGAATGGCCACCAATGGACGCGCGAAGTAGTTGCGCTCAGCAGCACGGATGCAAATGGGAAGCACGTTCCACACGAGCTGGGCTTCTTGCGCTATCACGGCAGGAACATCAACGGGTCGGCTCCCAAACATATGAGCGTACTGCATGGCAGCTGCAGCAACGGGAACTCTGCAGAGACTCTACAATCTACTACTGGGATATGTGCGGCTTTGGCGAATCGACGGAGAAAGTCTTGAATTCACAACTTCAAGAGGTCACCAGGCATGATGACTGCAACAAGCAGCCATGCAGAAAGCTCTTTTTCGGCTTTCTGGGTACTGCGTTACAGAGTTTCTCGCAAGCAGCATCAAACGACTGTACAGTTGAACTTGCTTGCCAAACTAGCAAAATGCGGTAATTCAACCAGAGTGTATGTACAGAAACAGAAACTGCCAGGTGCAACAGAGTGTATGTACAGAAACAGAAACTGCGCGCTGGAACCAGGTGCAGCAGAGTGTATGTACAGAAACAGAAACTACGCGCTGCATGAGCAATCTCGAACAGCTGTACGAGATCGAGCTTGCTCAGTCATGGCTTCAGAGCCTGCGCGCCTCGTACGCAGCTCGAACAATATTGCCGACAGCAGCGAACTTGTCCTGCTCGGCATGCCAATGATGCCATTGAAATTCACGCACCCGCTCATCAATGTTCCCTTCATCCGCTTTCGTGGACTTCGGAACCCCGATCAACTTCAATTGCCGCCACACATTATCTATGAGTTGGGTGCCTTTTTTCACCCATACCGTGTCCGCTTGGTCTTTGGGCAAACCCTTGACATGTGCTTTCCTGTAATCTCGAGGAAGGCGGTGCTTCCATGTAGCGGCATATATGGGGCTCGGACGCTTGTGTCTCACCGAATCGGTAACCACGCCAGGTATCTGCACGTACCTGTACGCACGTGCTCCGTCGCAGTGTAACAGGATTTTCCGATTCTTGAGATAACGGAACCCTATCTGCTTCCATTCTTTTTTGGATATGGGTCCCGGAGACACAGCAGAGCCCTTGCCCTTGCCCTTCAGCTTGACAGACGTTGACTTCACTCGCATTTTGACAAGGGTGAGGCTCTTACGGTTGCCGCGCTCGAGCAGACCGCAATACTGGAACCAGGTCACTTGTTTGCCTGATTTCTTTCCACGAACTGTGACCTCGTCGACTTCAGCTTGAACCCAAGTTCGAAGATTGCCGAAGAGCCGAGCTTCTTGTTGTCGTTGAACATAAGCCTTTACAGCTCTTCTCCATCTGGCAGACAGAGTTTGCACCGCCCTTGCTCCAAGGCCCGTCAGCACATGAATCTTGCCAGTGTCCACCCTAGTCACATTGCAGAAAAGAACCAGGACCTGTTGACGCAAAGAAATGAATGACTGGCCCCATCCAGTACAGAAGAATGGATGCCGTGCATGTGGAAGCACATACTTGTGACACGACTTCGCTTGACATCTTCTCACGTATCCTCGCTTCTTGTGCTTGAACAAGCCTGACAACTTTCCTGTTCTGCAATGTGGACAGCGTGTGAAGTTCCACAAGATTCCCAGCTTCAAGAGCAATTTGATGAGCCTGTTCTCGGACATCTGCACCAAGTCCGATAGAGAGCAACACCAGTGTTGGGATCGTAGCTCTGCCTTCTTCGCACTATCGAGCTGCTGATCTCGTGGTACGTAGGGAACGTGATCTGGCTTTGCGGAATGCGATTTCTGAGAAGGCTTTCGAAGCACCAGTCGCAACATCCCATGCTTAGGGCTCGGAAACTGCTTCATATCGCTCGTCTCAGAAATGTAGAGCTGCGTCAGAAAGCGATGAAGGGCTACTCTGGAAACGGCTGCGACAGCAGTGCTGGATGAAATCGATTTCGTGTGTTGAGTACCACAGCGACACTGGTGCCGAGCCCGCGCAATTTCGACAAGACTCTTTTGCATCAGTGCACGGTGCGCACACGCCGGAAGCAGACTGTACAATATTCCGGCCAGAGCCTGTCCTAGCACTGCTTTCGATGGACGGTAATAGGACATTCTTGAAGCACAGGGGCTATCGGCCTGCAATACGACAGCTCCTGCTCGCTCGTTGCCAAGAAGCCGTGAGCTGATGTGATTTTATAAAACTCCAACTGTACATCAAACATAAAAGCGAAACTAGACAAAGCGCATGGCAAAGACTCATTCTGCACGACAGTCAAGCTAGCGCTTACATCACAAGCAAGCTGTACACCGTAGAATGTTGTAGAGTCAGAGAGTTTGTCACTCTGCAATATGACAGCCTCTGCTGGCTCTGCACGACTCAGAAATCATGACTGATTGGCTGGCTTGCTCTTGACCCTCACACGTTTACTGGTCGAGTTGGCGAGGGCAGATTTCAAAGCGGCACTAGATATGTTCGCGTATTGCATCAGGGCTGCCTCATATTCTGGCGATGAAGCTGAAGAGGGGCAAGTGAAGTTGTAGCTATCTGTGGCCGCATCGAAACTACCCAGAACTGACGGAGCAGCTTTGACAATAGCGCGAAAGTCCCCAAGAGAAGGCTGTTGCGTGAGCTGGTCCTTCGACCTCTGAAGGTTGTACACGCTTCGTGACTTGATGACACAGGTTTCTGCCCCCTCTGATGAAGCTTCCGCCTTGAGGAGCAACCGACGATAGAATTCGGTGTCAGGCAGTCCGGTGTGTTGTGCTTTCGGTTGCCAGTCTTGATCTTTGTTC